GGGGGGGGGGCGGGGAGAAAATGGGTTGATGCGAGGCGAGGAGACACGTACCCCTTGAGAATGTTGAGCGGGCAAGTAACACACACGTAACTTCCTCGCCTTCACTTCAGCTACTTAATGGCACACCGTCCAGTTTCCTTTTTTGTGCTTCTCTCTTACGTCTTATGAGCATGATGACTTTCCCTACTCACCCGGGTACGTGAATGTCTTTTTGGTCTTTCCTTTTGGTTTAGCTGCGTGTTTGGGCATCTGCAGCTGATACAGTTTTTTTTGGACATTTATTATCGATGTCTAGTGAGGTGATGATGTCTAATGATGACCTGTCTCTGGACCAGCCTGTTTCTCCAGTCGGCTGGCTGTCGCTTGCCCCTGTACCCGACCTCGTTCTTCTTCCCACCTCTTCGCTTCATTCACCCCCACTTCATTCACCCGATGTCACACAGATGGCTCCAAACGCACGTCACTTGCCCCATTTGCCGAGTGTCTCTCCTACCCGAACAACGTGGACCGGAGGAAAACCGACCAGGAAGTCAGGGCGACCCGGGAAGGCAGCAGTCTCAGCTACGGGTGCACAGGCAGCAGCAGCGGCCGCAGTCGCTGCAGCTGCCGCCGCCTGTGCAGGTCAGTGGCCGCGTGGTGGTGCCTGTGGCTGTGCTGCCCACTGCCGCTGCCGCAGCAGCGGCGGCGGCGGCGGCGGCGGCAACTGCAGCGCCGCCGCCGGCGTCGTCGTCGGAACCTACTCGCCATGGGTTCTTTGCGCGGGTTATGGGCAGATCGCGGCTTTCCTCCGCCTCCCCACAGCGGGGCGTGTCACTACAGCCTGTTGAGGTGCTGCAGCCAACCTTGCTCCAGAACCCAAATCATCATCAGCAGCAGCAACAGCAGCAGCAGCAGTGGCCAATCGGCCCCTGGGCGACGTCGTCAACGCCTGGGGGCCCATTGCAGCCGTATGTGTCGTGCCCACCGCAACCGGAGCCCGTCCCCGCGATGCTGCAGGCAACGGTGTCCCCCCCAGCGGATTCCAGGACGGATGCCATCACTGCTGTTAGCAGCACAGGTGGTGCCGTATTCATCGCGGTGCCGCCGCCGCCTGGCTCTCCTCAGCTGCTTGCACGTGGCCCTTCGGCTACATTGGACTCACCGTTGTACCACTCGCGAAGCGGCCGTGGCAATGGCGGAGCCGCCTCCGCCGCCATCGCTTCCGCCGCCCCTCCCGAGGCCCTCCTACCCACTGTGGCGGTCGGCTCGCCCCCGCTATCACCGTCGTCTTGCCGCCTGGCGGCGGGCCGGCAGTCGCCAGTGTCGCCCGCAGGGGGGTTGCTGACACGGGCGCCAGGGCCCGATGCAGCCGAAGCGGTGCCGCTGCGGCTTATAGATGAGCGACCGTCGCCTCCACTCCCTCCGCTTCACGCACAACCCTCTTCCTTCGGAGGACAACACAGATAACATCGACATCCACAGGCGGCTGCCGTGGCAGGGCAGGGATGTGACAGCACATTAACGATCACACTAATGATCTGCCAACGGCGGGATTACCCTCCCATCCACCCTTCACGCTATTTGAGAGCCTTCCAAAAGTCGCGCAGCTTGCTGGGCGGGGAAGGAGGTCATACATGAGAGGCGATCTTCCACAGCCGGAAGACTATCTCCCTTGCTGTCATGGCTTGGGACTGCCATTCGGTGTTCCTCATTCGGTGCTCTTGCTGTCCTCGGAGAAACGGAGTATTTTGCCGCAATGGTGCCGCGACAGTAAGAGCTACGATGGAGCCGATCGCGATGGACGATGATCAGCAGCAACAAGAGGCGGCGTTTGTCGTTGTATAATGCGGACTGGATTGGGCATCGGCCCGCTGGTAGAGTGCCGTTTCGCGTTTTTGTCTGCTCATCCGCTGCGGGACAGTAAGATGAACTCGGGCGAAGTTGTCGGGTTTTTCAAAAGGAGAGGCGGCTTGAGAGTGTGCGTGTACCTGCTTGCAGGTTCGCCGTTTGCTAAGCTTGTTCTCGTGCAGTGGCATCTTTTACAGCGACATTGTGAGGTCATGTGGTGTATATGGAGGGGAGGGAGCAGAGGGGAGGAGGGTTGCGACCTCTGCCGCCCAGGGCGACTGTTGTAGCCGGGGTCAAGATGTGCAAGATGGGTGTTTTCTTCGGCTGTCTTTGTGTCAAGTGGCGCAACAACTAACTTGAAAACGCAGGCAGGCAGGCAGGTAGGCGGCAGTTTGGATGAATATTTGATCGAGGATTTGCGAGGGACGCCTCTTGGCAGGTCGTGCTTGACGACGTGGTTAGGTGGATGGCAGCCAGGCAGAGCGGCTTTTTTATTATTAGCGGCATTTTGGTGGTCGTGACCATCGTGGTGGCGATGTGTTCACGAGACCTGCAAGAGCAATGTCCAAATTTATTGGTAAATGTACATGCAGCAGCATATGAGTGATGTCCCCGACATTCTTGTGTTAGATACTTAGGACGGGAGTATGGTGTTGGCGAACCTGTTGAGCTCTACACCGGTGATTGCTGCGTTGGAATCATCTTGGAAATCAGGAAGAAGAGGCTTTCAAACGTGTAGGAGGCTGGTGATGACGGGGCGTGAAGGTTGTCGTTCAATGGCTTGTCTGTTGCATGGATATTGCGATTCATACTCAGGTACTAGAGTGAGCATGTTTGTGTGTGTAATGACGGGGGCTCACAGTCGCTGTGTCTGAAGAGATGCGTTGATGGGCCTATTGGCCGATGGGGAAAGATGAAAGGTCTGTTCCTTTCGTTTTGATTTTTTTCACTCTATTGGCAGTGATCTGAGCGCAGCTGGGCGACATGAAGGATCTTGCAACTCTCAGAGTGGACGGAGGCATATCGTGTTGTATCCTCCTAGATACACACACACACACACACACAAGCGCGCACGCATGCAAGGGGATTTCTCCGAGGAAAACCTTCCCTGCGTTTGGCGTTACGGCAATGGAGCCGGTACTCACCCTTGAGTGGGTGCGTAATCGCCGTGAACACCCGCATGCGATGTCCCCTTTACAAACACACACACAGACGCACACATGTGCATTTACACGGACATGCATACACGCATACACGCCTCCGTCTTATAAAATGTCACAAGCACCAATCGGCTGTCTTATGCTCTCGCTGCTACTCCAACAGTATACGGCTAAAGGTACAGAACAAATGCACAAATGCCCCTCCGCGTATGTGGTGGCTACGTGGGCGCTGAAACGTGTCGTGCATACTTGTGCATGCTGAATATCGCGAAGGGTTGGGTTGGGGGGTGAGAAGTGTTGAGTTGTGCTGGAGCCACATGCGCACCATCCCACTACGAGGGGTCCAGGGTCCTAGGCATTCCGACATCCATTGTGTGGCGGCGGGTTCTTTCCTTATTTGGGAGAGAGGGGAGTGTGGTTTTCGCGCGAGCATATGGTGCTTCTTCTTCGGTGCTGTAGTGTTGTGTTCCCCCTCTTTTATTTCTGCAGCGGCGATTAGCTGCCTGTGCAAACATTGTAGATGTCTACGTAAGGTGTTGTACCGAATCCCTCTCGTGCGCATGGAAATATGATATGGCAGTGCGGGAGGGTCGGGGTTGGGAGGGTTGTGGTATTGGGCTTGGCAGGATAAGTCGGGTAGGGAGGGTTGGGGTATTGGGTCGGGAGGCTTGGGGTTGGCGGGGTATGGAGGGTTCGGGCAGCAAAACGTGTCAGGGAGAATTAGGGGGAGATAGGGGTCGGCGAAAAACTGGCCCACGTGCTCAAGTTGTTCGGGTAGGCTTCTGAATGTAAGCCCCGAAACAATGACGTTAAAGCAAAGAGCTGCAAGACATATCTTAATCTTTGATACCTTGAAGATTCCCCCGACAGCGAGGTAATTGAGATGGCGCAAATGTCGCCCGCTCGTCACGCAAGCAATGCCGGAAGCTAGTTTTTAAATGTTAACAATGAGATGACCCTATTTGAAATTGAGGAAGAGGCTGCTTTAGCAGAGAACGTTTTGCAGTGCTCGTCCTCGGTACGGAACTGGGCGCTGACCAGTGCTGCGAAGCAGTTTCCGGTTCTTGTGTGGGTTACAAGAAGATCACGGCTCAGCACCTGCAGGCCAACAAGTCCTCTAGCGATCCCCGGTGAGCCATTGATTCGACACACGGATCAAAACACCTTTTCGGACCTTGTTGACCTTGTTTGTGCGGGTGTGGTTCAACCTGGACCAGCCCGGCAGTCCCAGCCTAATGCACAGTGGACCTAGTTTTTAGCCCTTGCATAAAGGTCATACTAGGCCAGGCACTACTGGTAGAGCACGCACCAATGCCCGGGATCGAGACCTTTCAGGGTCGAAAATCCTTCCCTTGGTGGAAGGTAAAGTGCCCCTAGTCAATGGACAGTGGTGACCTGGGATAAAGTTAACTTGCGAGCTGACCAGGAATGGAGTTGAGCCGCCGTCTATCTGGCAGATTCCGTTGGATGCCGGTGGTGGGTGCGGAACCTAAGCGATCCACTAAGAAGTTGGCTAGGGTGACTAGGTGAGGGTGCCTGGAAACACCAGGGACGGCAGGGTCTGCCGGGTAGCGGCCGCAAGGTGAAGATATGAACCCCCTGTCCCACACATAATAAAGCAGTATGTTATGACTTACTACCTAGGTAGTGCACCGAGTTTTGACCGATTTTCTCTGCGGGTGCCCGCTTCAGGTTCGACATAGTGTCACGGACATGTGTGGACACGGACAGTCTGTCTCTACTTTACGAAGGCCAAACCAGGTGTCATCGCCGACACAGACCATATTGCCACCGGTGTTGTCGCTGACTATGACGACCAAGGAAAGCTTGTCTCACTGGACATACGCACGGCTTCGAAGCGGACACCATGCCACGTCTTCAACTCTGGAGCAGAGGTGGATGGCAAGCAGCCACTGGCCGTCAACTGGCATCACAACACCGAGCATGAACGACTTGTGGTGCGCCTTAGCTTGCGGGATGTAAGTGTCGTTACCAACATTATAGAGACCGATGACCCTGACATCTCGTTGGGTATGGACTTGATGGGCAAGCTCTGTGCGCGGTCTTTGTGTCAAACCCCATACCCAACACGTTCACCGTTGCCAAAATGGACTCATCATGTTCGTGCCGGTGTGGTTGTTCCTGGGCTAGCCGGTCGCCACAGCAAGAATTGGTCTCGGCAAACTCATGCGAAGGCTTGGAAAATGAAGCCTGGGCTTCAATCCACGAAGTTTTGGCGTCCAGGTCTTGAGGCGAGGTCTTGAGGCCAGAGCACCTGATTGAAAGGCAACGAACGGGGCCAGGCAAGAGCACCTTCTGCCTTGTATTCTGTGACCAGTAGACCTACCTGCTGCCTCCAGACCAGCCAGGATGTCGGACTGGGAGTTTGGCAGGCGGCACATGCCGCGGGGGACGAGCAGGGTTTGTGCAACCTGTTGCAAACAGTAGTTAACCGTCACATTCCACACCTTTAAGGCTGCAGCATGTATTTGTGAGCGGGAAGATATTTGGGAGACGGATTTGCACAGTATGCTCATAAGCAGGAATGTGCACCAGAGTGGCATAACAGCCCAACCGTTGGCAAGGTTTGATTCCGGCCCATGTGCGGTTGATGTGTGTGAGGGTGGAGATGGCTGTGTCGCTGTTCGACTAGAAGCAGAGTAGCAGACTTCATGCGCCAGTGCCAGTTCATACACGTGTGTGTAGTGCGTGCAGTATGAGATGTGTCCTGTCTGGCTGGTGTGGACCCTAATCTCGGCAGTGTAGGGCAAGCACTAAAAAAACCTGCCGATACGCAGCATTGCGGAGATTACGAGCCCCAACGAACCACACACACACACGCAACACAACACAGAAGCACGAGACCCTCACTTGCCGTCGCAGCTTTGGGCCCCCAGAGCCCCCAAACACCTTGTATCTCGTAACCCATACTTCAATCGGATGTGTTCAAGGATGGCACGCACAATCAAGTGAGCTTCCTCGATCTCTTTCTCCCTCTGGTCATCACCCAACTTCTTCGGGGCTGGAAAGCAGCTTGAAGCAGTGGGCTGAGCTGAGCGTAGCAGCTTCCGCCCACAGGCGGCTGCTGAGGTGTCGTAGGTTGTGTGCGTTACATTTCAACGCAACAGCTCCTCTCCGTGTTTTAATGGAGAGGGTGATGTATATATGCAATATGTACGCAGGCCCCCATTCCCCAGGCCAAGCCCCGCTGCCACGCACCTTGCCGCACAGCGCTACGCTGTTAATGCTGCATTTTATCGCTAGTTTGTTGCGTGTATGTTTACCTTGGGGGCCCGAACTAAGTTTTGGTTGTTGCTTGAATATATGTAGAGCTTACCGCAGCCGTGCGCACGGCGACCTTGCGATGGCCTTGCGTCATCTGACCGACGACAAGTCAGGGGTTCCCTTGCTTTCCCTCCTCCACTGTCACCCGCGCACGGCTTTGAAATAAAATGATCAATGTACGTGATGTTTGTAACCTAAAGCTCCAGCTTCCGTGCACGCGGGGCCTTAACGTATGCGCCTACGAAATGTGAACGCGCAGGAACGCGCTATTGTGTACGATGTGCTTTGCAGCGTTTCCGTCGCTTACACGGCGCCCTTTTTTGACTTCTGCTGCCTGTCGCCAGCTGAATGTGATCAGCCACTATATGTCCTTCGAGACCGAGGGTGGGTCTACTTGCCCGCCAGGCACTGGGTTGGTGAAATGCGGTGGGTTGTTGGCGAGCTGCAAGTATGTTGCAAGTGCTTAGGCGAATGTCCAACTTCCAAGCTTCAAGGGTTTCCTGTATCAACAAGTTCAACAGGCGACCTGGTGTTTCAGGGGTGCGAGAGATGCGCAACGATAAGGAGGCTCGATAGGACTATGCACGCAACACCCGAAAACAATCGAGAGGGGCTAGCCTGGTTTTCCTCGGCGCTTGTCAAACAGCGTTTTGAGCATTGATGTGCACCCCTATAAGGCTTGTAGGTAAGCCAGCCTGATATAACCGGTGACGAGAAAGGGAAACAGGGGGATGCCAGCCACGGCTTTGGTGTACTGCCCCCCGGGTTGACCACTTGATTCTCGCTGATCTGGGCTGCGTATCCATAGCTCCCGTTCTATGAAAGCGTCATATGCCTCTCGCTGGACGGTCCATGCGGTAAACACAGGCAAGGGTCCGGTGCATTTGCCCGCATTTGAGGAAGAGTGACAAAATGTTTTATCAATACCAGAAGTATTTCCTCTTTCCCTCTAGGATTCTAGGCTTCCACGGGCTTGGAATGTTTCAGGCCGCGGCTTAAGACGCAGCAAGAAGAACAAATCTAGTGTTTAAGTAGGCCCTTGCAGTGTCCCTTTTTATGTAAGCTAGGTAAAGAGGCCGCAGTGCAGCACAGCTTGGGATGACTGCAGTAATGTTTGCCGTAGAGCCATCGAGCTTTCGGGGCGAGCTACGCCAATGCTTACCTTAGCAATTTTTGATTTCCATATATCACAGAAGTGACTATAAACGATAGGTGGCACATATTTATCGTGATTCCTGCAGGCTGACCGAAAGAAGTGCTTGTATGTTTGGGGGAGTTTGGAGCTTCTCTATGAACGAGAATTAACAGAGCAAGCTATTTCCAGCCGCAATGGCGCTGGATAACAGGCACCGCTTTCTTGTCGGAAAGGTGAAGCCTCACTATCCCAAGGCCATCAAAGGTGGCAACTGACGCGGTGTCTGCTCCATTCGCAGCTTGCCGAAGCTTTTGGACTTCCTGAGAATGTGATCGAGAAGACGATAACGTGAGTGGGTGGGGTGCACATTTGTCCATTTATGAAGATGGACAGCACGAGCCGTTCCCCGCTTGCCCTTGCAGTCAGGATAAGCAGACAATCAACAGCTTCTTTTTGCCGACCGGGCCATCATCACTTATCTTTGTTTATCAGGTACGGCTCACATGGCAAGCATCCAGACCCGCGCACGCCGCGCACCTCTAAGCGTTTATGTGACCCTGGCAGGCAAAGGAGGACCGGCTTAAGGATGGCTCAATCGGGCCGGTGGACAACAAGCCCACGCTACACAGATTGGGCCAGGTATGTTCTGGTTGGTTTTTTTATGCAAACGCCAGGTCCTGCTGTGGGCCCCTTCATTCCCTAAATCCGAGCGAGCCGCATACAACGGTTTGTAGCCAAGTTGGGTTCTGAAAATTGAGAGCTGCTGAAAGTATACGGGCTGGTAGGAGACTCATGCTGCCACGGCAACAAATCCATTCCCCTCTCTGCATCATTTGACACATGACGACCCTCCGAACCGTCCCCCTTCCTCCCCGTCAGCATCTGCTGCCCCTGTGCGTCAGCACAGCACTCGAATCCCTAATCCCCCAATATCCTAACCTATATACCTACCTTCCGCTGCCCGCTGCCCATCTGCACTTTCGGTCGCAAGGGCCAGCTTCCCAGCCCTGCCTGACCTGCCCGCCTGAAAACCCATTTCGCTGCTATCCCCGTGCCTCTTCCCCGCCCCCGAAACCTTTTCCCCCCCACTTACCGCCGCTACCACGCAGCATGAGCGCATCCACAACAAGTGCGTCTACTTCACGCGCCTCAACCCAAAAGGTGTTGCGGAGAAGACGCTCGAGGCTGACCTCGGCAGTGGCGAGCTGTCCGGCAGCGCACTGGAGAACTTCAAGGCCATCGTCGCGGACTTGTACGTGCCCATCATGCAGGAGCAGCAGCAATGGGGCAAGCTCTCCGCTGAGTACCTGACCGAGTTCCTCGCCTCAGCCGCCAAGTTTGGCAGCATGTTGAATGAGGCTGTGGCCACCGTTAACGGCGGCGTAGAGCTGCGCAAGCCCGACCCAAAATACACGGAGCTTGATCTCAAGCCGGCGGTCCTCGCTAATGCCGCTGGCGACGAAGATACTCTGCAGGAGATGGAGGAGTGCCTAACGGAGTGGTGCCGGGAGGCTGAGGCTCTCTTGGCACAGACCAACAAGATCAAGGATGGCGAGGAACCCGGTCCCGACACGGAGCTGGAGTACTGGCGGACTCGCATGTCCAATTTTAATTCCATTACCGAGCACTTGAAGACGAAGGAGTGCAAGCTCGTGCTGGGTATTTGCTCGCACGCCAAGACCAAGGCGTACCTGCGATGGCGAGCTCTAGATATCCAGATTACGGATGCGGCGAACGAGGCCAAGGACAATGTCAAGTACTTGGCGACGCTGGAGAAGAGTCTGGAGCCGATGTACTCGGCGCGCGTGGCGGAGATCACGGAATCTCTGCCGGCGCTCATGACGAATGTCCGCATGATGTACACGATTGCGCGGTTCTACTCGACGTCGGAGCACATGACGCGGCTGTTCACCAAGATTACGAATCAGCTGGTGCGGAGGTGCAAGGAGCAGATTATGGAGAATGGCAAAATTTGGGACCAGGACAAGGCGATGCTCATTAGCAACATGAAGGTGTGTGCGGGTTGGCGTGGGGGATGGTGAAGAGGAGAATTTTTATTTAGAAGGGATTTGGAGAGGCAAGGGACGATGGCAGGGGAAGGAGTTCTGGAAGAGAAAACCGCGAGAGTTTCTTGCCCAACCTAAATGGGTTGGAGAAAAGAAGGAAAAGTTTGAGGGAAAAGACAAGGGAACACAAGGGAACAGGAAGCTTGACCTTGGCAGGAAGATGCAGTAGGGTTTGCGTATAGGGGTATAGGACGTCCAAGTGCTGCTTCCGCGCTACTACCAGAGAGGCCCCGGGAACGATGGACGAGGGAAGGGGTGGCGGTGTGCGCTGTCAAGGAGGGGTGCTGGTGGGGTGATGGAGGAAACGCATGGGGCGGGCAACCCCACCGGGTGTGGAGGCAGACCGCAGCTGCCAGATGCTGAAGCTGCACGCTTGTTATCCGCCGGGATGATAATGTCCTTCTGCATGGGATGGGATGCTGAGGGAAAACTGGGAAATGTGGAATGGGTGTAGGGGTGTGAGGTAAGGAGGATATGTTTGGTTCCCCGGGCGGTTCGTGGGCAAGTCAAGGAAAGGATGCAGGTAGGAAGCTGACCACGGGCTGGGGTAAGGGGAGGAGGTGGGAGAAATAATAATCTGCGGGGGTGTCTGTTCGCAGAAGCACTGCAGGCTCAGATGCCCCGAAAACATGGAGGTTGGGGATCTGGGTTCCTGTAGCTGGTCGACCATTCGGTGTGGTGGCGGGCCAGCCCGTTTGCCCTTTAGAAGCGTATAAACATCTAGGCCTTGGCGTAGTTCCAAGCTCCCCGCTAGGGGTTAAATGATTAGAAGGCGCCATCCCCCAGGCGCCAGGCAAGTGGCGGTGCCATAGGCTGGGCTGCGCGTCATACTCTTAGCATTTGTAAAAAACGGGGCGCCCTGCCGCGGTGGAGGGGATAGAGAAAGGGCGCTAGCTCGACCGTGTCTAGGCCCCTACCAATGATGATTTCGTCGGTCCAGATATCACCTGCGTCGATGGCGTGTCCGCTCTGAGCCTACAGTCGACAACGGCCCATAGAGCGGAAAGCCGTTTGGTTGGTATGCGGTGTGTTGCAATGTCACAGTCCCCCAATAAAAACGAATGCTGCTCAGCTCGTCTCGCAACCTGACCTCTCCGACTCAGCTTTACAGAGAGGGAATCTGTGAAGAAAATTGGTGGTCCTCAAAATCCGTGTGTCAGTTGAAGGGGCAACCGCCAACTAATTCTTTGCATGGAACCGCAACCAAGCTCATTACGACAGGGATGAGTCCCGCACAAACAACAGTGCAGCAGTTGCAACCACTCTTCACTTAGCGCACAATCGCACCCGCATTTCTTGCACAATTACTCCAACGTGCGGCTGCCTCCTAAGCACTACAATAGTCTCAGAAACTCCCTTCTTCACGGCCGGCCGCACCCACCCACCCTGCCGGCCGTCCATGACCCACGGGACCCGCATCTGGGTCCTCCGCTTGCCTCTGCCTCCAAAACCCAAAAGTTAGTTACCTAACACCTCTTCCAACCCACAAATCCTAACTTCACCACAGGTGGCTGTGGAGCTCGCCAATCGGCACCAATACAAGCTGGCCAAGGAAACGTTGGCGTCGCAACCAAAGTCGAAGCAGTTTGACTTTGACGAGCAGGCCATCTTCCTGAAGTTTGACCTCTTCTCCAAGCGCTTGTACAAGCTGATCGACATGTTCACAACCATCCACCAGTTTTCCTCCCTGGAGCAGCACACCCACATCGAGGGCCTGGACACAATGCTCAAGTCGCTGAACAACATCATCGACGACGTTAAACGCAAGCCTTACGACTTACTTGACTACTCCAAGAATGCCTTTGACCGTGACTTCCTGGAATTCAACGTCAACATCAATGATCTGGAGCTGCAGCTGCAGGTACGCCGCATGTTAGGCTGTGGATGATTATGGGGCCGGAGGTTTGGGGCGGCGTCGGGTTTGAAGTGTTCCCTTTATTTTTAGGATCTCTATGATGGAGATACCACCGGCTACAACCATCACCTTCTGTGCCCCGTCTTCGCCTTGCCCCATCCATCCATACGGACCTCAACCTTGCGCCGACCGCACACAACAGAACGAACCGCAGGCGATGATCTTTCCAAACACACCGCCGACCGCTGTATCTCGCCATATATTAACCAGGCTCGACATACTGTGCCTCGTGCAGGGCTTTGTGAACGCATCCTTTGAGAACATCACCTCGACGGAGCACGCGCTCAGCCTCCTGGCACAGTTCCAGGCCATCATGCAGCGTGAGACGCTCAAGCAGGACCTGGAGAACAAGTACATGGTAATCTTCCAAAACTACGCCAAGGATCTGGACGCCGTACAGAAGCTGTACGAGAAGAACAAGTACGAGCCGCCTGTGCCGCGTAACGCGCCGCCCGTGGCGGGCAACATCATGTGGGCGCGACAGCTGCTGCGCCGCATCGAGGCACCCATGCAGCGGTTTGCCCAGAACAAGAACCTGCTGGCGGCGAAGGAGTCCAAGAAGATTATCAAGACTTACAACAAGGTGTGTGTGTGTACCTGATGGCGTGGTTTGTTTTCCGGGCGGCTGCTCTTCTTCTTCTGCGGCAAGTTGTACGTGTGTAAAGTCGTGGACGCCTCGCCTGCCTGTCGACCTGCTTGCCGCCCTGGCCACCAGCTTGCTTGCTTTTGCGCTTATCCCATCCCCGGGTAGAGGGAGGTTCTCATCGACACCGCTGCCCCCTTTCGTTTTCCCAATTTTTGAATCTCAGGTGGCCAAGGCGCTGATTGAGTTTGAGACGCTGTGGCACCAGGCCTGGATCAAATCCATCGAGCAGTGCAAGGCGGGTCTTGCGGCGCCCCTGCTGGTGCAGCACCCCGACAGCGGCAAAATCCTGGTCAACTTTGACAAAGAGATCATGCAGCTGGTGCGCGAGGCCAAGTACATGCAGCGCTTCAACATTGCGGTGCCGGAGAGCGCCCAGATGGTGCTGCTGCAGGAGGAGAAGTTCAAATTCTACCACAACCAGCTGACGCACCTGGTACGGACCGGTTGGTGAAAAAAGGGACTCCATAAAAAAAGGTGTTACGGGAAGGGACTTGGAAAGGGTTGGGCGGTGAGAAAAGGCATGTGGGGCGCTGAAATTGAAAGAGAACGACAACAATTTGATCTTGGATGGGACGACGTTGCTGTGGACCGTACGACCCCAGGGTCACTAATGCATCCATCCCGTGGTCATTAACGTCAAGAGGCCACACGTGGCTGGAGATGCTGCAAAACCCAATCAAACGGCCGTTGTTTTTTCCGCTGCTGCTGCCGCGACTGCTGCTGGTAGTGGTTCTAATAATGGTACCGTTCCCCATTTCGTCTGTGTTGGCCAGGTTCGCGAGTACGAGCACATCTTGTCCCGCGTGGCGGCTACCATCAAGCCGCTGTTGCGGCCGCACCTGAACGATATGGAGCGCAAGATCGCGCCCGGTTTTGCGGTGCTCACCTGGACTAGCCTCAACATTGACGGCTACCTGCACCGCTTCAAGCAGGTACCGAGGGTTTTCCTTTCTATCCAATACCTTTCTACCGCTTTCGCTTTATATTAAAGCCACAGTAGGCACACCAGGGCAGGGGACAGCATCTCATAAATCCTGCCGGATGTTGTGGTGCGCGACATCGTTATCTACGCACCTACCTATCTGCCTACCTACCTATCTGCCTACCTGCCTGCCGGTCTCAGCTTGGCCTTGTCTTGCTTTGCCAAATATCGTTACCGGTTAGGTTTTAAAGCATATCGCCATGTACGTCCCCACCAACACATCTCCTTTCGTCACCTTCCCCCGCGTCCTATGCCGCCACGCCCTCATTGCCAGCTTTACGGCCCCTACTGATTCCCCTGTCTCAACCACTTACCTCACCCCCTACCCTTTTCAATCCCTCTGCCGCAGGGCCTGGCTCGCCTGGAGGAGCTCGTCCGCAAGGTGCTCGATCTGGTGGAGAACCGTGTGGAGTCCAACCTTCGCGCCATCAGCAACACCATGTTGGTGGAGCTGCCCAGCGACCGCTCCTTCACCTATGATGAGTTTGTGACCACACAGCAGCGCTTCCAGAAGAAGCAGGCGGAGCAGTTGGGCATCCGCAACGAGGAGGTGCGCCGCGCCATCGACGACCTGCTGATGCTGGTGCGCAACTACCCGCGTGAGAACCAGGACGAGGCGCTGGACGAGAAGGAGGTGCAGCTATTTGTGCGGCACTTCTCCAAGAACATGTACAACGCCATCATGGCTTGCACGCTCAACAGCTTGCAGGTGGGTTGCGCGGCTAAGGATGGGGAAGGGTGGGCTCAGGGGTAGGTGGATTTCTGTGTGTGTGTCTGTGTGTGTGGAATGGGATAGGTTTTGGGAGGGGGAGGGGGCAGCTGGGAGGTTGGGCATGTCGGTTTGGGTGTCGTGGTCCCCGTTTTCCCTTCTTTTCTACCTAGCTGGTGGGGTTATGCGTGTTGTGTCTCCTTGAAGAAGTTGGGGTATGAAGTGGGCTGCGACAGACTACGTAGAATGCCGTGCAGTTCTTTGCTATGTAACAGTCAAACATGTGCTATCGCACTACGCCATCCGCCCTCTCCGCAACTGCAGGCCATGAAGCGCCGGCTGGGCTCCAAGACGTCCACGGGGATCTACTTTATGGAGCGGCCCTTCTTCGATGTGGACGTGGAGCTCAAGGTGCGTGTTTAGGGTTTTGACGGCATGCAGTTTTTGCTGCCCTGCATATAGGGCTCCGACACGTAAATGCGATGTTCATAGCCTAAAACCCAAACCAAACCCTGAGATCCCTGATCTCCAAACCCAATTTCCCGAGCACTATCACCATCACCGCACTTCATTGTTGGTCTTTCCGGTGCTGTGCTGTGCTGCAGGTGCCCTGCGTGTGCATGAACCCCAACCTTGAGGAGATTCAGGCGGCCATCAACCAGTGCGCCAAGAAGGTCCTCACCACCAGCAAGCAGCTGCCGGCCTGGGGCATGGACCATGTGACTACCTACCACGAGCTCATTGCGCAGGACAAGGACGTGGTCAAGGCGGTGTTGAGGCTCACAGGTGGGTCCGGTCCGGTCCGAGGGCCAGGTGGCATTAGGGTTGTGCTGTACCGATGTTGATTTCTGTGTCATTAGGTTGCATTAGGGTTGGGCTGTGCCGATGTTAGTTGCTGTGGTGTAAGCACTGTTGCTGGGGCCCGTGTGATCAACTTACCTCCGCATCTTATACGCGTTGTTTAGTAACAGCATTCGCTTTTTTCCGGTGTTTCATGTCATCCAGTTGTTAGGACTTGGACGTGACGCGTATACCATGCTTTTTTAAAGAAAGCAATGCGTGACGTGCTTTCCCTTCCCTTATTATACATATGTAGGCTCTGTGGAGGGCATCAAGGCACAGGTGACCGAGTTCCTCAAGACCTTTGATCGCTACGGTTTCCTTTGGAAGGAGGACCTGCAGGCCGCCTATGACCAGTTCATGCGCACCAATCCCACATTGGAGGCGTTTGAGGCGGAGCTCAAGAAGTACATGGCCATTGAGACGGAAGTGGCTAACATCCCCAACGTCAACAACATTGGTGCGTTGTCGTTGGAGACCATGCCCCTTAAGAACAGTCTCAAGGCGGAGGCGGTGTCGTGGAAGACGCAGTTTGCGCAGAACCTGCACAAGCAGTGCTCGGACGACCTCAAGGCCTTTGACAACTACATTCGGTAGGTGTGGCGTGCGCGGAGTGGCGGTGGGGTAGGACGGGAAAGGAAGCGTATTCCGGGACCGGGACGAGGCGCAGGAGCCAAAAGTGGACCGGGTATCCTACCCTACACACCCATCCACTGTGGTTTAAGGTGCATATGAGCATAGCTGTGTGACATCATTTGGCGCGGCATGAGGAAGGGATTACGGCCTTTCAGATTGAATCCTGGTTATTGGTTTCTTTTAACAGTTCCTGTATGCAGCAGCTGGCAAGTATATTTGTTAAAGTCATCGTCTGTGGCACGTCACCTCCTTCCGCTCAGTGATACCAACTCCAAGTTCCACCGCAAGATTGAGGACCTGGAGGACGTGCGCAACGTCATGGCGGTGCTCAAGGAGGTTCGCGAGAAAGAATCGGAGATTGACAATCTTATCGGCCCCATTGAGGAGATGTACGGCTTGCTCATGCGGTACGAGGTGCGCGTGCCCAAGGAGGAGACCACCATGGTCAGCGATCTGCGCTACGGCTGGAAGAAGCTCAAGAAGGTACGGTTGCAGGGGCGTTGTGGTGGTGATGGTAAGGGCAGGGGAAGAGGAGGGATGCGCAGTTATGGGATGCATATCGCGCTCGGTTGGATGCATGATGGCGACTTGTCCTGGGAACGGAAAGGGAGGGAAGAGATGCGGAGTAGTTTACTGCCAGGAGAGCTGTTCCTGTGCACCCGCCACCACTGTACCTCGCTGTACCTCCGTTTGGGTCCATCGCCACCATTACCACCATCACCACCATCTCCACCATCACCACCATTACCACCATCTCCACCATTCCACCATCTCCACCATCACCACTATCACGGCGGCGAACACTGTCCTGTTCCTCATGCGGCATGTGTAAAAAATACAAGAAATAATACTCGGCGAATCTGCTCTTGTGTGTGAGTCAGTTTTCGCCATACCTTGCCCTGCCCACCGCCCCCGTGGCCCCTTACTGCTTCCCTTGAACTCCCCCCTACCCTCTCCCCTTTTTTTTGCGACACTCCCTGTTGTTGCTAATGCAGGTTGCCACGGAAGTTTCGGACAACCTGACTCGCCTACAGGTTGGCTTTAAGCGCGAGCTGATCAAGGAGGTCAAGACGTTTGTGGTGGATGCGCAGATGTTCCGCAAGGACTGGGAGGCCAATGGGCCCATGGTGCCTGGGCTAGACCCCATGGAGGCAGTGGACCGCTTGCGCAAGTTCCAGCAAATGTTCGAGGTGCGATGGTGGTGCTGTGCGTGTGCGCGGTGTGCAAGTTATGGGACGCAGGTGGTGTGGGCACAGCAAAAGGGAACGGAAAACAGGTCCATGCCTTGCTGCAAAATTGTTGACCTCGTTCATCCTTTCCCCTTCAGGCTTCCATTTCTTGTACTGTTTACCGCATTCTAACATTTCCTATAGTAGTCGCTAGACCTGCCCAGCGCTTTGCTGGTACTGGGTGGTATTCTTCTGTGTACGACTTCGCCTATTCCCCTCCCTTCCCTTTGCGCTGCACTCGCTCACGTGGCGCGCAGGTCCGTAAGCGCAAATGGGAGAATTACAGCAGCGGCGAGGAGCTCTTTGGCTTGCCCGTCACGCAGTACCCCGAGCTGGAGCAGACGGAGAAGGAGATCCAGATGTTGGACCGTCTGTACAGCCTGTACGTCACGGTCATTACCACCATCAAGGGGTATGGTGACTACTTTTGGGTGGACGTGGTGGAGAAGATTGACGAGATGGGCGAGCAGGTGCTGCAGTACCAGAATCAGTCCAAGAAGCTGCCCAAGGCGCTGCGCGACTGGCCGGCCTACCATGCCTGCCGCAAGACGATCGATGATTTCTTGGACATGTTGCCGCTGTTCCAGGCGCTCACGCATAAGTCGATGCGGGAGCGGCACTGGCACGAGGTGATGCGCATCACGGGGCATGATCTCAACCTGGCGGAGGATGTATTCAAGCTGCAGGTAGGAGGAGGGAAGATGAGCGGGGAGGCTGCGAAAAAAGGATGCAGAGGGAGGGGCCTGGAGAGCTGCGTAAGGAGGGAGGATGAGTGTCAAAGTTAGAAGATAAAAAGATGTCAGCTACACCGCGGGCCCTCACCGATTCACCTTCACGCCGCTTTTCTTTTCCCATTCGTGTGTTGCAGCACCTGCTTGACAGCCAAATCCTGACGTATCGTGAAGACATTGAGGAGCTCACGGGCGCGGCGGTGAAGGAGGAAATGATTGAGGTGAAGCTGGCGCAGCTCAAGGCTGACTGGGCAAACCAAAACCTGGCGTTTTCTGAGTACAAAAACCGTGGGCCAGTCATTCTAAAGCCCAGCGACACCAGCGAGCTGATGGAGAAGCTGGAGGAGAGTCAGATGACGTTGGGCTCCATGGCCACGAACAGGTGGGCGCCATGAAGGCACATGACACCGCGTGAAGGGGAAAGGAGGGAAACGAGTGTGGAAATGGGGGAAAGCCGCGTAGCACATGACACTGTGCTTTCGTAGCCTGTCCACCTGGCCCCGCTACCCGCGCATTCTCCCAACTTTCTTTCTTGCCCCCCTTCTTGCTTCCTTCTTTGCTGATGCCGCTCAGGTACTCTGCTCCCTTCCGCGAGGAGGTCCAGGCTTGGTCCATCAAGCTGTCCACCGTATCGGAGATCATTGAGCAGTGGCTTATGGTGCAGAGCATGTGGCAGTACATGGAGGCGGTGTTTAGCGGCGGTGACATTGTCAAGCAGCTACCACAGGAGGCCAAGCGCTTCCTCAACATCGACAAGAACTTCATGAAGATCATATCCAACGCGCTGGAGACGCAAAATGTCATCAACACGTGCTTTGGCAATGAGCTGATGAAGAACATGTTGCCGCACCTGCACGAGCAGCTGGAGATGTGCCAGAAGAGTCTGAGCGCTTACTTGGAGCAAAAGCGCGCGGAGTTCCCCCGGTAATTTAATGGAGGATCGGCCGTGTTTGGGTTTACGTTGTCTCTCTCCCTCTTCCTCTCCCTCTCCCTGGATTGTGGTGGCAGCGCGGGCTTGCAGGCATCTACAATTCGATTTGACGCCCTCTGCCTAAGCCATACCTCCTGCCAGTCTCACTAATATTTCCGGCCCTTGGTCCGGCTCCTCACCGCTTTCGTCTCCTCGCCTCACCCTCCCCGCAGTTTCTACTTCGTGTCTGACCCCACGCTGTTGGAGATTCTGTCTCTAGGCTCCGACCCGCCCTCCGTGGTGCCGCACTTCCAGTCGGGTTTGTTCGATTCGTTGGCTAACGTGACGTTTGACCGCATCGACAAGACGCGCATGACAGAGATGTTTAGCCAGCAGAACGAAAAGGTGGGTGGTACGTGAGTGATTTGCTCGGGGTCGGGGAGTGCTGGACTGGGAATGTAGGGTATTTCCTCCGGAACCTCTGGAACCCTGAGATGGGTTCGGCCCGCTCTGGGGTTTCCCTGTCTTGATCTGATACGCTATTAGTATGTGCCTGCGTCGGCGCGGCGCTGAAATGATATGGATACATACATACATACATACATACAGGTGGAGTTTGAGCGGCCTGTGGATGCCAAGGGCAACATCGAGGTGTGGCTGCAGCGCCTGGTGGACGGCATGCAGGACACCGTCAAGCAGATCATCAAGCGTGCTGTGCGCAACGTGGCGGAGATGACGCTGGAGGACTTTGTGTTCGGGCATCCCGCACAGGTACGAACGTACGCCAGCAGTGACGCACTGAAACTCCTCACCTGCCTGCCTGCCTGCCTGTCGGCTGACCTGCTCCCTTGTCTGCACTCCCTGCCTGTCTCACGTCCCAGGGTGGGTTCGCACTGAGGGCTAGGCTGTCTTTGGGTTCCACGCTTCCCAGATCATCCTACTGCACCCATGGAAATTCGTTTTTGAGGGACAGCACTAACCTGTTAGGTTATGATAATTACGATGTAACACCACCTTCCCGTCGGTTCTCCTCTCCTAAACCTGTACCAGGTTGCTCTGTTGGGCATTCAGTTCCAGTGGACTGCGGAGACCCAGTCCGCGCTGACAAACGCCAAGGTTGACAAGACCATCATGAACAAGAACATGAAGAAGGTGGACGCGTTGCTGCGCGACATGGTCAGCATCACGGTGCGCTCCGACCTGACACGCAACCAGCGCACCAACCTGGAGACATGCATCACGGTGCACATGCACCAGAAGGAATCCACGGAGGACCTGGTCAAGAAGAAGATCAAGGATCCCACCGACTTCGAGTGGCTCAAGCAGGTGCGCGACTTTTTGGGGTGACTCGCGCTTGCTAGCGGTCGGGTTCTTGGCTCGATGGTCTTGGCAGAGGGTTGGAGAAGGATGGATTGCGCCAGGGATAGGGGGTTCATTGTCCCTTTTTTCCCCTAAATTCTTTGCACGCCGCATGCGTGCGCTCCGTCACGTAATGCAGGTCCGCTTCTACTGGCGCGAGGACAAGGACACGGTCATCATCTCCATTTGCGATGTGGATTTCGAGTACTCGTTCGAGTACCTGGGTGTCAAGGAACGTCTGGTCATCACGCCGCTCACGGACGTGTGCTACATCACGCTGTCGCAGGCGCTGGGCATGTTCCTGGGCGGCGCGCCCGCAGGGCCTGCAGGTGGGGCCCACTTGGATTTCATTAAGGCTGGATCAGTGTGTTTTGGATGCGTAACGTATGTAATTCGGCAAAGGCATCATTGGTATAATGAGCCTTGCTTTGCTACATGAACGCTTGTCGGTCTTCATGCCCGCTTTCCATCATGGCCCACTTTTCATAACATGCTGAATTGCCTGCCACCGCCGTCATCTATAGGCACGGGCAAGACTGAGACAACCAAGGACTTGGGCAACACGCTCGGCAAGTACGTGGTGGTGTTCAACTGCTCCGATCAGTTCGACTATACATACATGGGCAAGATCTACAAGGGTCTTGCGCAGTCTGGGCTGTGGGGCTGTTTCGACGAGTTCAACCGCATCAACCTGGACGTGCTGTCGGTTTGCGCACAGCAGGTGAGACGCTGTGCATAGCGGGGTGAGCTGAGGGTTTTTGGGTGTTCAAGACAGGAAAAAACAGATTTTTTGAAGGGCCGTTAGTCCTACTTAGGCCTGATGTGGCGTTGCGGCTTTTGACGGGGTTGAAGCCTTCCCACAGCACAGGGAAGTGTGAAGCATCCTGCCACCGCCGGTGACTACAGCACCGCGCCGTGCTGGAGTCGTGTTTCGCAATCTGTCCGATTCTGAAGTCCGCTGGCTTCCTTGCACGCAGGTGTACTGCATCCTGTCGGCCATCCGCGAGCGTAAGAAGAACTTTGTGTTCACGGACGGCACGACGGTGTCCCTGGACCCGCGTGTGGGTTTCTTCATCACCATGAACCCCGGCTATGCGGGTCGTCAGGAGCTGCCGGAGAACCTGAAAGCGCTGTTCCGCGGTGTGACGATGATGGTGCCCAACCGCCAGATCATCATGAAGGCAAGTTGCGAGTTCCATAAGTTGGCGTGGGATCGCGAGATTGCTAAGAATGCTGTCAGTAGATTTAAATTGGCACTGGATCCGGATGTTTTGAGTTTTGTGGAGTTCATGGAGTGCAGTGCACTGCGGCCGTTGGTTGAAGGAAAGCCCAGCTTGCGCACATCCTTCTGCCGTAAGAATTCGTACCCCTCCGCACGCCCTCCGCACAGGTCAAGCTGGCCGCTTGCGGCTACCAGGAGAACGACATTCTGTCCAAGAAGTTTTTCGTACTGTACGGCCTGTGCGAGCAGCAGCTGTCCAAGCAGGCTCACTATGATTTCGGCCTGCGTAACATTCTGTCCGTGTTGCGTACCGCCGGCGCGTCCAAGCGCCAGTCGCCTGATAAGTCGGAGGTTTTCCTCATGATGCGCACGCTGCGGGACATGAACATGTCCAAATTCGTGGCGGAAGATGTGCCGCTGTTCCTGTCGCTCATCGACGATCTGTTCCCGGGCCTCAAGGCGGAGCGTAACTCCTTCCCTGACGTGAACCGCGCGCTGGAGAAGGTGGTGCTGGAGCGCGGCCTGCAGGTGTGTATATGCGCGTGCGACGGGAGGGGCGGAGGGGCTTTGGGCTGCTGTGGCGGGTTCCGGGAGCCAAAACCTGCTTTTGAAGAAACGCTGATCCGCCGATCCTTCCTTCCCGAAAGACTTCATAACCAAGCCCTGCATTGCATATCCTTATTTGATCCGCTAAAGCTATGCTTCCCTCTGTTCCATTAACGACTGCTTCTTCCCTACTTTCCCTGTTCTTCATTCCATCCAACTCAAATTTCGCCAATCAGGTGCATCCCACCTGGATGAACAAGTGCATCCAGCTGTACGAGACGTACCTGGTCCGCCACGGCATCATGCTTGTGGGACCCAGCGGCAGCGGCAAGAGCGCCATCTGCGAGTGTCTGGCCGCAGCACTGACGGAGCTGGGCACCAAGCATGTTATCTGGCGCATGAACCCCAAGGCCATCACCGCGCCGCAGATGTTTGGCCGCCGTGACGACGCCACAGGCGACTGGACGGACGGCATCTTTGCGGTGCTGTGGCGCCGTGCCGCCAAGAACAAGAACCAGAACACCTGGATTGTGCTGGACGGGCCCGTGGATGCCATTTGGATTGAGAACCTCAACACGGTGCTGGATGATAACAAGGTGCTGACGTTGGCCAACGGTGATCGCATCCTGATGACACCTGCCATGAAGGTGCGTCCTGACACGTGTGGGAAACGCAAGGATAGGTTGAAGCGCTTGGACCTCGATGGTTGTGTGTGGATGCGTAACAGTACATGTCTGCGCGGGTGGGTTTGGGGAAAAGGTAGAGGATCGTCCGCAGGGGAGCTGGTGCAGCATGGGGGACCGATGGGGGCTGAGGAGGAAGAACAAGAAGAGGAAAGGAGAAAGGCGCTCTACCATGCTGGTGTAATGCCGTCCTTTCCCCCTCGGTCGGCTTAGGTAGGTAGTTCTTCCGACATCTTCTTCACTTCGTCATCACGAGGTCGCGGTCTTCACGGACGCCTTTCGGTCTGTTCTACGTTTGGTACACTCTTGCCCTGGCAGCAGCTTCACTCGTGTGTGGTTCGTCTTTGCCCCTCGGTCGGACAAACAAGTGCTCTTACCCTTTCCGGTTGTCTTGTTGTTACGCGCCCTATCGGTTTGTAGGCCATGTTCGAGCCGGAGAACCTGAACAACGCCTCCCCAGCCACCGTGTCGCGTGCTGGTATTATTTATGTGTCCGATGTTGAGCTGGGCTGGGAGCCGGTGGTCAAGAGCTGGCTGCAGAAGCGTGATGCAGGGGAGAGCGCGGCTTTGGGACCGCTGTTCTCCAAGTACGTGGAGCACATGCTCGACTACGTGCGCATCAGCCTCAAGCCTGTCATGTACAATGAGCAGGTGGGTGTGTGGGGTGGGGTGCGGGATGCTGTGGAAGTGGGGGTTGGCATGGGTTGCTGCTTGCTCGGAGTTGGGGTGAGGGTGTCGAACGGTATTTTGGGTGTATGAGTTGGGACCGTGGGTGGACTCAGGCGGTAACCTCACCCGCCACAACTACAGGTATTTGAAAATTCTCAACCGCTTTTTCCTCGCATGGCTTGGCTTTGTGCTGCCGCTATCTTTTGCAACACGCGCGACGCCTCCTTCCTACCATGATCGGATGCCACCGCGAAATCAACATCCCATTAACACGCTTAAGCACCCGCTAACTTACTTGCGGCGCCCAGGTCAGCATTGTGGGAACCATCATGACACTGCTCAACGGCTACCTGCGGTCGATCAAGGAGGCGGGTACACCGCTGTCGGACGTCAAGTACGAGCGCATCTTCCTGTACTGCCTAACTTGGAGCCTGGGTGGCCTACTGGAGATGAAGGAACGGCCGTTGTTTGACCAGGAGCTGCGAGGGTGAGTGCGTGAGGCAAACGAGGACAGGGTTGACGTAGGTTATTGATGAGGGTGCATGGCGATGATGACAATACGGTAGCAGCAGTCCCCTGCTCAGTTTCAAAAGGACTGTTAGCTGAAGGGTTTTGGGGGCTACGGGCGCTGTGATTTGGACTTCCCTCCTGCAGTGTCTGGATATGCGGATAATCACCTTTCTTCATGCCTGCGAAGACTGTGATTCCCATTGCAGAAGAACGTCTTTCGCGCCCTCTTGCCCGCCGTCCCTATCCGTCACCCACGTAGCATCGCATCCAACATGCCGGCCAAGGATGAAGACTCAGACACCATATTCGAGTACCTGATCAACGCCACCGACGGCGAGTGGCTGCACTGGCGCAACTGCGTGCCGGTCTGGCACTACCCAAAGAACGACGAGAAGCCCAAGTACGCGCAGCTGGTCATCCCCACCCTGGACTCGGTGCGCTACGAGAAGCTCCTCAACTTGTCGTACAGTGTTGAAAAGGCGACACTGCTGGTCGGTGGTCCCGGCACGGCCAAGACCAACACCATTAACCAGTTCATCTCCAAGTTCAATGCCGACACCACCACCAATAAGACCATTACCTTCTCCAGCCTTACCACGCCCGGCATCTTCCAGATGTCGATCGAGGGCGCGGTGGAGAAGCGCCAGGGCCGCACCTTCGGGCCGCCCGGCGGCAAGCAAATGTGCATCTTTGTGGACGACATTTCCATGCCGTACATCAACGAGTGGGGTGACCAGGCAAGTGCGGCCGACCGGCTGAGGAGCGGGGACGAGTGACGCGACTTTCTTCGGACTTCCTGGCCTTCCATATTGGTTTCAGCGGGTTGCGGGCTGCTGCAAGCGGCGCAGACGGGAGCCTGCTCATGTCTCGTAGGATTTGGGGATGCTTCTGACACCCGCACGATAGAGCTTTCCGGCACATGTCCACATCCTCGCGCCACCCTCTGCACACATTCTGCCTCACCTCTTATGCAATCATATGCCCTGGTTGACATAAACTTGCGCAGGTGACCAACGAGATTGTGCGGCAGCTGTTGGAGCAAGGCGGCATGTACTCTCTGGAGAAGCCCATTGGCGACATGAAGTTCATTGTGGACGTGCGCTACGTGGCCGCCATGAACACGCCGGGGGGTGGCAAGAACGACATCCCCAACCGCCTCAAGCGCCAGGTGCGAGGTTGTAAGACTACGACCAAGGCGTTGCATGCCCTCTCGGACTCTGGGGTCGACAACGAAAACGGGGGTAGGCATGACCAAAGCATATGGCCCTGGGTACTGGGAGCTAATGCCCCATGGGATGCCCGGCTCTATGTGGCTATTGTTTCTAATCAAACCCTTCCATCTAAGCTTTTAGCTCCGATGCCTTCCCATCCTCCCTTTCTCGACCCTTCCGATAGTTCGCCATTTTCAACGTGCCGCTGCCGTCCGTGGCGGCGATCAACGGCATCTTCGGCAAGCTGGTGGAGGGCCGCTTCTCACGCGACGTGTTCTGCGAGGAGGTGGTGTACGTGGCGTCCAAGCTGGTGCCGCTGACCATCACCCTGTGGAACCGCATCCAGACCAAGATGCTTCCCACGCCTGCCAAGTTCCATTACCTCTTCAACATGCGCGAATTGTCCAAGGTTTTCCAGGTGAGGAGGCATCACGTTGCCGTCCGGAGTGACACGGTTGAGGAAGGAGCGCATCATGCGTGATGCTCCACCTGCTCCGGGGCTCCTCTTCTGTCCCGACTTGCGCCTTGCGCCGACTTGAAAAATTCATGTTTCTTTATCCCCTGCGCCGCTCTTCTTTACCTGCCCATCCGCTCCCAATACGCTTTCTTTCTCGCTCAAACTCCCTCTTTGCTAATATACCTTATCGTGCAGGGCGTCATCCTGGCCGCTCGTGACCGCTTTAACCTGCTGGTGGGCGACTCTGCGGTGTTTGGCGGCAATGTAAACTCGCCCGAGGGCTACCTGCTGGGACTGTGGGTGCACGAATGTCGCCGCGTCTTCTCCGACAAGCTGATCAGCTACGAGGACAAGAACTGGGTGGACAAGGCCGTCTTTGACCTGTGCCGTGACAACTTCTCGTCCGACCTGGTCAAGCAGGTGGAGGAGCCCCTGTACTTTGTGGATTTCTTGCGCGAGCCGGTTGTGGACGATGAGACGGGCGAAGTCATTGACGCACACCCCAGCTTCTACGAGTCAGTGCCAGGCGGCCTGCCGGAGGTTCGCGCCCGCGTCGAGGCCCTGCAGCGCAAGTTCAACGAGGAGTCCAAGATCATCAAGCTGGAGCTGGTGCTGTTCACGGACGCGATGTTGCACCTGATGCGTATCACCCGCTTGTTGGCTATGGCCCGTGGGTCGGCGCTGCTGGTGGGCGTGGGCGGCAGCGGCAAGCAGAGCTTGTCACGTCTGGGCGCCTACATCGCGGGCGCGTATCCCTTCCAGATCACCATCACCAAGACCTACAACACGGCCAATCTGTTTGAGGACATCAAGGGGCTGTACAAGATTGCCGGCTTCAAGGGCCAGCCGGTGTGCTTCATCTTCACAGATGCGGAGGTCAAGGACGAGGGCTTCCTGGAGTACATGAATCAGATTCTCATGACCGGTGGGTGGCCTGGAGTTGTGTGGTTGGAGGTTGTGTATATTGGGTTTTGGGTGGACGTGGAATCTTTCGACATGGTATGGCGGTGCATGGGGGACTCCCGTGTATGGTGTGCACGTCTTGTGAACCCTCGGACACCTTTCCTTAGCGGTTCTTTCCCATGTAAGTAACCGCAGTCAACATGTCGCCCAACGTCTCATTCCATCCATTCCGCGTTGCGAAACCCCGCAGGTGAGGTGGCGGGTCTGCTGACCAAGGAGGACCAGGACATGATTGTCAACGACATCCGGCCTATCATGAAACACCAGGCGCCTGGCGTGCCAGACACGTACGACAACCTGTACAACTTCTTCCTCAACCGCGTGCGCGACAACCTGCACGTCGTGCTGTGCTTCTCGCCTGTGGGAGCCAAGTTTGCGCGCCGCGCACAGCAGTTCCCCGGTCTCATTAACGGCTGTACTATTGACTGGTGAGGTTATAATGAAGTGGCGTGGGCTTGTTGGAGCAATAGTGTTGGGCCGGCCGGTGGGGGATGTTGTAGCACTGCTGCTGCTAGTTGTTAAGACCAGCAAAGCGCCGGAACCCCCCATGTCCTATTACTGCTGCTACCATTCTCTGGTGTATGAGTGTCGGTCACATTCAACACTAGTGCTGCTGCTGCAGCTGGACATGGAGCTTGCCGTACCGAGTTGGTCCAACCCATCCCGACTGTGTGCAGGTTCCTGCCGTGGCCGGAAGATGCTCTTACGTCGGTGTCTGGGAAGTTCATTGACGAGTTCTCGATGGCTTGCCCCAAGGAAGTCAAGAACCAGCTCAAGCTGCTCATGGGCCACACGCACGTGTTTGTGACCAACGCCTGCAAGGAATACTTTGAGAAGTACCGCCGCTACGTGTACGTCACACCCAAGTCGTACCTGTCTTTCCTCCAGGTATGTGGAACGGCATCTGGCATGTGACACATATATGTATGTTGTTACAGGGTGGTTAAACTCCACCAGCGGCCCCTTTTCCGAGGCAGTTCCCTGCTCTCCCCTGCTAGAGGGGCACCCTAATCCGTATATGTACATATATGTATGCGGTATAATGCATATTTTCCCAACTTCCTCCTCCTATCTGCCATCTCGACGGCTCTTATCATTAGGACATCCAGTGCTGTGCTGTCCGCTCTGCTCTCCGACTTGTACCCCAGGACTGCCCGGTTTCTCCTGACTACACTGTGTCGCAGCACAAGAAAGGACTCCCTCCTCGCGCACAAATCCATGCTTGCAGGGCTACAAGGAGCTGTATGCGCGCAAGTGGTCGTTCACAAAGGAGCTGGCCTACCAGATTGAGGCGGGTCTGCAGAAGATGTTTGAGGCCAAGGCCGACGTGAACAAGATGAAGGCGGAGCTGGCGGTTAAAAATCAGGATCTGGCGGTGTCGGCCAAGGAGGCGGAGGCGCTGCTCAAGCAGATCAGTGAGAGCACCGCCATTGCGGAGAAGGAGAAGCAGAAGGTGGCGGTCATTGTGGATGCGGTGAGTATGTGTGTGGAGAGCTGGGCTGGGCTGCGGGCTGTGGGCTGGGCTTCCGAGCGAGAGAGGGATAGCGAAGGAGGAATCCCCTGAAACCTTGCCCCAAGTTGTGGCATTCTATTCATGATCCTAATCTTGATGTCGTCATTTTTTTGTGTCATTACAATAAGGATGGGCTTGGTTGACTAACGCATTTATGTGCTATCGTCCCGCCCTTGCTACGATTACGGTTCGAGTCCTGTAGGTGACGAAAAAGGCTAGTGAGATTGCGGCTGTGAAGGATGACGCCGAACGCGACCTGGCAGCGGCTAAGCCCGCTCTGGACGCCGCGCTCGAGGCGTTGAACTCCATCAAAGACAACGACATCAAGAACCTCAAGGCGCTCAAGAAGCCCCCGCAGATCATTACGCGCATTTTTGATTGCGTGCTCATCCTCCGTATGCAGCCCATGAACAAGGCTGAGTACCTCGACGAAAAGGGCCGCCTCGTGCTGGGGGGCAACTACAGCGAAGCGCAGAAGATGATGAACCAGATGAGCTTCCTGCAAGACCTCAAGGACTTCCCTAAGGAGCAGGTGGGTTCTTCAGTACTGGTAAAAGAGACCCGCGGCACGCTGAGGCCCTGGCTCGTCAGCCTTCATGTCTCTGGGCTTAATTTCCAATGCCGGATGTTTGCTGTGCCTGCAGATTAATGACGAGACGGTGGAGTTGTTGGAACCGTACTTCATGTGTGAGGACTTCAACTTTGAGAACGCTTCCAAGGCCTCGGGTAACGTGGCCGGCCTGTGTAACTGGGCCGAGTCCATGGCCAAGTACCACAACGTTGCCAAGGTGTGCCGATGGGGCGGCGTACCTTCTGATCTATAGGGGCTGTGGGTGCAGCTATGGGTCCCGTGCGAGCGGACGGCTGTGTCGGCCTGGGTACCCGTTATGTATTGCGGCGTGTTGGCCTCAGTTTTTCACAGTATGGGTAGGTGCACTGTGCTCCTCTCGCGCCAAATGTAAGATGGTGACCAGGATAGGATCTTGGTTTCCACCAGAACAACAGCATGATCGTGTGTGGTCGCCGTTGTCCTGATGATGATGATGATCATCATCATCATCGCTGCCATCGCCTTTATCCATCAGGTTGTGGAACCCAAGATTGCCAAGCTGCGCGAGGCGGAGGCGGAGCTCAAGCTGGCCACCAAGGAGAAGAACGCGGCGGAGGAGCGCATGGCAAAGGTGCAGGCCAAGTTGGATGAAATGCAGGCTCAATTCGATGCCGCCATGGCGCACAAGCAGGCGCTGGAGGATGACGCTGCGGCCACACAGCGCAAGATGGACAGCGCAAACGCTCTCATCGGCGCGCTTGCGGGTGCGTGTGGGTGTGGCTGGGGGGCAAAGGATGGATGTGGATGTTTTTGCGTCTCTCTGCCCTTCGTTAAGTTTCTGTGCCTATGCCTGAACTGAGGCGCTGGACTTGTGGCGGCTCGCCCTTCACTTCAGTTCCACCCATCATCACCTACCCATCGATTCACTTTTAACCTCCCTAACCCACCAAAACATGACTTCGCCACTTAAATCCTCAGGCGAGGAGTCTCGCTGGACGGCCCAGTCCAAGGAGTTCGATGTGCAAATCCAGCGCCTGACTGGCGACTGCGCGCTGGCCTCAGCCTTCGTCTCCTACCTTGGTCCCTTTAACAAGGAGTTCCGGGAGCTGCTGCTCAATCGGGACTTTTACGGCGACTGCACCAAGCTGGCCGTGCCCGTCACGCCGCACATGCAAATCACCAAGTTCCTGGTGGACGACTCCGAGGTTGGCGAGTGGAACCTGCAGGGCCTGCCCACTGACGAGCTGTCCATTCAGAACGGCATCATGGTCACCCGCGCCAGCCGCTATCCCGTGCTGGTAGATCCTCAGGGCCAGGGCCGCGAGTGGATTAAGAACCGTGAGGAGGCCAACCAGCTCAAGACCACGCAGCTGAACGACAAGCTGTTCCGAAACCACTTGGAGGAGTGCTTGGCGTTTGGCCGGCCGCTGCTGATTGAGAACATCGAGGAGGAGCTGGATCCGCTGCTGGATCCTGTGCTGGAGCGGCGGCTGATCAAGAAGGGCAAGACGTTTGTGGTGCGTAGTGGTTAAGGTTCGGGTTCGGGTTCGGACCGTTCGTCCGGGTTTCGGGTCCGGAACGGGTTTGGGAAAGGGAAAGGTATGGGTATGGGCATGGGTGCATGCGGAGGAAAAGAAGCAGCAGGGCGGGAGAGGTTCTGCGGTAGGCCAGTGGGGGGGGGGTTCTTGCGAAGAGACTAGCTTGCATAATGAGACGACGAATGGAGGCGGCCTGGATGGCTTTGTGAAGAGGCCATTTGGATGTTGAATTGACTTCCTCTGGTCCTGCATACAAGACCCTCATTCACCTGCCCGCCCAACTTACCCCTTGTTGTACCATGTTGCACATCTTGATACGTTTACAGGTTCCGCTGGCCGACAAGGAGGTGGACTTTACAGAGACGTTCCGGCTGTTCTGCACAACCCGCCTGCCCAACCCGCACTTCACACCCGAGCTGTCTGCCAAGGTCACCGTGGTGGACTTCACCGTCACAATGGCCGGTCTGGAGGACCAGCTGCTGGGCAAGCTGATCAGCAAGGAGAAGAAGGAGCTGGAGGACCAGCGGCAGCAGCTGCTGGAGGAAGTGCAGTCGTACAAGAAGCGCATTAAGCAGTTGGAGGATGACCTGTTGTTCCGCCTGTCTAACAGTCAGGGCAATCTGCTGGATGACACCGAGCTCATCGATGTGCTGGCGGTCACCAAGCAGACAGCGCAGGTAAGGGATGAGGGACTTCTTTTGCCCGCGGGTCAGGAAGTATTACGGCTGGATGACTTCCCTAACACACCCGCACGTGAGAGACGTCCCCTTCGTACATTACGCAGACGCGCTCTAACCACGAACACGTGCATGATCAAAACGTTTTCACTGAACTGAAAACCGTAACTGAACTGAACGGCTACGCAGGACGTCAGCGAGAAGCTGGCCAATGCGTCGGAGACCAACAAGCGCATCAACGAGGCGTGTGAGGAGTACCGGCCCGTGGCGCACCGCGCCACATTAATCTACTTCCTCATCGCTGAGTTCTCCGTCGTCAACTGCATGTATCAGACATCGCTCGCGCAGTTCAACCAGCTGTACGAATTCGTGAGTCTGAGAGACACGTCTCTGCCGAGCAGCCTGGAAAAAGGGGGTTGAGGTAGTTGGCTTTAGCAAGGCCGGGATGGATGTCGTGATGTGTGAATATGAATATGATTGCTGTCGATTGCTGCTAAGGTGCCAATGTCGTGCTCAGGTTACACTGTCCTGGGGTCGTCTTCCTATCCCGAAATCCTCTTCCCTCCCAACGACCTCCCCCCTGGCTTTAACCGCAGGCCATTGACCGCAGCGAGCGCGCCAACATGCCCTCCAAACGCATCCACAACATCATCGAGTACATGACGTACGAGATCTACCTGTACGTGCAGCGTGGTCTGTTTGAGCGTCACAAGATCATTTTTGCGCTCATGCTCACCAACAAGGTGCGCATGGGAAGAGAGCTGCGACCTGCAATGGCTGACCTAGCCTGCCTGCCTGCCTGCCTGCCTGCCTGCCTGCCTGCCAAAACGTACTCCTTTCCTGAGTTGTTCCTTTTTGAGCTCGCCCGCTCCCTCTCTCGCTCCCTCTCCTGCTCCTGTTTTCCTGCTCCCCATTAGGTCCTTGTGTCAGCCGGCAAGGTCAAGGTTGCCGACCTGGACGTGTTCCTCAAGGGTGGTGCCGCTTTGGACATCAACTCGGTTCGCAAGAAGCCCAAGGACTGGATCCCGGACTCGGTGTGGCTCAACATCATTGCGCTGTCCGCCATGGATGCATTCCGGGACATCCCCGACAGCGTCTTCCGCAACGACGGACTGTGGAGGCAGTGGTACGACCAGGAGGCGCCAGAAATGGCCAAGGTGCGGCCTTGGTGTGGGAAAGGGTGGATCGGAATTGGATTGTATGGAAACGGAAACAACGAGGTGGAATCGAATGGGTGCTATGGGATGAGGAAAGCCGAATCCGGGGTCATGTTTGTGCGTGGTGGAACATGGGGGAACGTGATGGGGTTCGGCAAGTGGAAACGCGCGAACATCTGCGTTTCGGCATGTACAGGTATGTAATCTTTCCGCGCTCCTCACTCTCGTCCGCTGATAGAATCCCCTTGATCCGGCCAGCTCTGGTGCCGGGCCAGCATGGCGTCACACCATAGCACACACCACTACGCGCTGTGCCACTCTGTACCATCTCCTCCTTTATGTAGGTGCCCGACTATGAGGACCGTCTGAACAAGTTTGAGCGCATGTGCGTGGTCAAGACCTTCCGCGAGGACCGCACCCTCATCGCAGCCGCGGATTACATTGCCGAGGCTCTTGGCCAGCGCTTTGTGGAGTCCGTGCCGCTCAACATGGAGAAGGCCTGGACGGAGAGCCACGCCAAGTGCCCGCTCATCTGCCTGCTATCGCCGGGCGCCGACCCCACGAAGCTCATTGAGGACCTGGCCAAGCGCAAGAAGATAAAGACGCTGGGTGTGTCTATGGGTCAGGGCCAGGAGGTGATTGCGCGCAAGCACATGGCGAGCGCCTCCCTGGAAGGCCACTGGGTGCTGTTGCAGAACACGCATCTGGGTCTGGGCTACCTGACCGAGGTGGAGACGTTCCTTGTGAAGGAGGAGAACGTGCACGAGGACTTCCGGCTGTGGATCACTGCGGAGCCCCACCCGCAGTTCCCGATCGGGCTGCTGCAGATGGGCATCAAGATCACCAACGAGGCGCCGGTGGGCATCAAGGCCGGACTGCGCGCGTCGTACCAGTGGGTCAACCAGGTGCGCGAATTTGGGTTGCGGCGGTCTGGGTAGGACTGGGTTGGGTTGGGTTGGTTGGTTTAAGGTGCGGTGCAGTGTGGTGCTACGGACTGTGGATCATAAATGATTGTTATGTCAGTTTTACGACGGCACTATGTGTGTGCTTGCATGCATCGTCAGCTTTCTCCTTTTCTCTACTTCGGAGCTGTTGCACAGCAATACCAAGACAACACTGATATAATGCCAATGGAAGACCCCGCCTCTCAGACACCCGTGCCCCCTGCTCCTGCTCCTTCCGCCGCTCCTCGATGTTTTACCACAGGACATGCTGGACATGGTGACCCGTTTCGAGTGGCGGCAGCTGCTCTTCGTCATGTGCTTCCTGCACTCGGTGGTGCAGGAGCGTCGCAAGTTCGGTCCCATTGGCTGGAATGTGCCCTACGAGTTCAACCAGAGCGACCTGTCGGCGTGCGTGCAGTTCCTGCAGAACCACCTCAGCGAGATGGACGCCAAAAAGAGCCCGCAGCCCACTTGGGAGACGGTGCGCTACATGATCTCGGCCATCCAGTATGGCGGCCGCATCACAGACGATTTCGACAAGCTGCTAATGGACACGTTTGCTGAGAAATACTTCCTTCAGGTGGGAAGGTCTCTCTAAGGGCACGCCATGCTTGGTTTATCGTGTGTGCTTCTTTTTGGGTTTAGGGTTTTGCTGCATGCGAGGGTGCGTGTCCGTGTCTGTGCTTGCATATGTATATGTAAGGTAATGTGCGGGCACCACATACACCCAGCCTTCACTAAAGCTCCAGCATTCCATTCCATGCGCAGTTGCTATAGAAATCTCACCTTCACCTCATTTCATCTCATCCCACTGTGATACAATTCCATACAAATGCCCCCATACAAATGCTACCATTCCTGCACAGGCCGTGCTGGTGCCCAGTTACGAGGTGTTCAAGGACAACCGCACCGCCGACGGCTTCAGCTACCGCGTGCCTGACTCCACCGATATCGATGGCTTCCGCTCCTACATCGAGACGCTGCCTGGCACCGAGTCACCCGAGATTTTCGGGCTGCACCCGAACGCCGACATCACGTTCCGGACGCTGCAGGTGCAGGAGGCCATAGCCACCATTTTAGATACCATGCCCAAGGGCGGCGGTAGCGGTGGTGGACTTAGCCGCGAGGATGTGGTGGACAAGATTTGCGAGGATCTGCTCTCCAAGGTAGGATGCCAGTGAACGGGAAGGGAGCGGGGTTGGGTGAGTTAGTACTCCAGGGACCCCCTCGAGATCCTTGAGCCATTATGATCATTCAATCTGACAGCTTGTAGAGAGAAAGCCATTTTCTCTGTAAAAGTGAAGCGGTTTTTGGTGTCGCTGCTGTGCTAACTGTTTCTTGACCTACATCCTTTGCCTATGTTGAACCTCCTCTGCTCGCCTTCCGAGACCTCCCTTCGTGCTTTCCCCACACCCGCGCATCACAGGCTCCTCCGTTGTTCGACAAGGAGGAGTCTAAGGAGAAGCTTAAGAAGCTGGCCGGCGGACCCACCATGCCTCTCACGGTGCATCTGCGGCAGGAGATTGACCGCCTCAACATCGTGACGCGCCTGACCACCACCACACTCAAGAACCTGCGGCTCGCGATCGCGGGTACCATTGCCCTCTCAGGCGGCCTGATTGACGCCCTGGACGCGCTCTTCAACGCGCGCATCCCCAACTCCTGGCTGTCCAAATCTTGGGAAGCTTCCACGCTGGGCAACTGGTTCACCGGGTTGCTTCAGCGCTACGACCAGCTCAATAAGTGGCTCAATCTTGGCCGGCCGAAAGCGTACTGGATGACGGGCTTCTTCAACCCTCAGGGCTTCCTCACGGCCATGAAGCAGGAGGTCAACCGCAAGCACGCCGCTGACAAGTGGGCGCTGGATGATGTGGTCATGTCCTCGGAGGTTACAAACCCGAGCAAGGACTTTGAGAGCCTGAAGGAGGGTCCGCCGGAGGGTGTGTACGTGTACGGGCTGTACTTGGATGGCTGCGCGTGGTCGGGCAAGGAGAATCGGTTGGTGGATTCGGATCCGAAGAAGTTGTTCAATCCGCTGCCGGTGCTGCACGTGACAGGCGTGTTGGCCAAAGACAGGAAGCGGAATCAGCTGTACGAAGCGCCAACGTATCGGGTCAAGGCGCGCAAGGGCCTCAACTACATCACCACGTTTTCACTGCGGACGGATGAGGATAAGTCCAAGTGGATTCTGCGCGGTGTGGCCCTGTTGTGTTCCATCGATTAAGGGAGACCGTGAGTAACGGGGGTAGCAAGAGGAGAGGAGGTTGCATACGGGGTGGGGTGGGGTAGCGTGATTCGGTAGGTGACTGCGTTAGGGGGTAGAAAGGACTGAAATGCTGAAATTGCCTGGTTGCTGCTGGGGCTGCGCTTGAGTGTGTTGAGCTGTGTTATGATTACGCTGTTCGAGACGTTTTCGTACGTGATAGACTATACGGGGAGCGGGTAGGTGCGGGTAGGTGCGCCCATGGCGAGGTAGCAGTGAAGCCCCTTCTTCGCGGAGAAACAAGCAAAACTGTTATTATCGAACGTGACCTTGGTACATATCTTGGGCGCTGCTGACACAGCCACATTGAAGCCGTGAAAGCCCCTGTTTTTTGTATGTATGTATGTTGCATGATATGTTATGCTGCAAGGCACGAGCATCTACATGAGGTTGAGAGATTGATGCGCGGCGTTTGGGACGCTTCCATGGTGGGACTTGCGCATGGTGGGTTCCTTGCCACGTTGCTGAATCCAAAGCCCCACGTGGCTGCGGCCTTGCAGCGGAAAGGTGACGTCCCGGCCGAAGCGCTACCGGAAGGTCTCTACGCCTGGATCCGTAGGTGGATTGTAAGGTTATCAGCTACATGGAGGCCCTTTGGAACCAGAAAACACAGCACTGCACAAGCCTGCACCCACGCACATACTGCAGCTCGCCAGGATCTAAGGCCATGTACGTTGCTCCTACTGCTGCCGCACACAGAACCTTCCGTAAAACGTCCACATTAGCCTCTCAACACTGCACATTAAGCTGTCGGCAATCGACATGATTTACCCCGTGCTGCTAGCCAAACGTTTGCGATGTCACTGCGTACTCTGCAGGAGAGTTCACCCAATCCTCGGCGCTGGCAAACACGTCCAGGCAGACGTGTGGCGGTGAAGCTGTGGTAGGCTGTGATACAATGAGAACGTTGCTACATTGCGTATTTATTACAATGCCATTAGACACGGAAGCGTCACATGCAGCATCGCATACCCCCAGTCCACTGCAGGTTATGGACCCTGTGTTGGTCGGGCTAATTACGACGCATGCGATGGTACAGCACGGTGCGGTACGATCTGGGCATGTACGTCCTCTATAATCTGGCGATAACCTGGCAATGCAGCGACCGACCCGCAACACCGACTGAACTGAACCACCGAATTACGAACCCTTAGGGCTAACGGCCCCAACCTGCCTGGGTAGTCAATGTGGCCCTCAACTTATGAGGATCGATCGATAAGTTTACTGTGGGGAGAAGCGGCACTGGCCCTAACGGGCCCTACGCGACTGTAAATTCTGCTAGCAAGTAGTAGTCCTCAACGGCACATGACAGCAGCCAGGTACCCTTGGCGACTGGGTGCATGTGAGGTGTGAGGAAGTCGGGTGGGCGGCAGGGAGGGTGGAGCTGTTGCCAGGGTTTTGGTACACGAGGGAGGTTCAACAAAACTGCGCATTGCGCGTGCGGGATGACATCTTCACCGTCGTGCAGGCGGTCGTCGATCACAGTGGGGTGGGGTACTGTGGTTGGGTCGACACATCACCCGTCAACAGATATGCGTGTAAGTACGTATGTATGTATGTGTATGTTACGCCTTCTGGAGTTGCGTTCTTCTCCAAAGGTGTAACACGGAGGGCCCATACAAGCCAGGGGCTGAGATAACAGAAGGACCGTAGCAGATGGTTTGGGATGCAGTGGTCTTGGATGTCATTAGCGCCATGGTGGCGGCGCACAAGTTCATAGACTAGCAAAGGCCCCACAACGGGAGGCACTGCAGTCGGGCGCTACCTCTATAGCAAAACCTACCTCTCGTAGCTTGCTTGACATCAACCTCAGCACAAACAGGATATCCGCCGTACACCCCTCGTACAGATTTCCCCGTCCCAACTCTCGCCTCCCCCAGCCGCACTCAGCCCTTCCTTTTCTTGTCCTCATCACCAAGACATGCGACGACACGATACGACGCGACATGACATGACATGACATGACAGGTTGATACGCACGCAGGAAACACACACCTGCAAGCATGTCTGCAACTCGCGCGACGGATGGCATCAGTGACGCCAGTGTACTGAAGCCCGCCATGTCTACCTGCAGGCACGCATAGAACACATACATCCACGGGATGGTTTGCCGTACTGCCGTACACACCAAATAAGTCATCGGCTGTCCCTCCCAAATAAATGACGCAGTGTTTTGTGGTGCCGCACGTCTGTATGTTTGTATACCTGGACGGTGGCCGGAAGAGTCATCTATCAGTGAAAACAGCGCAATGATGACGGGCAAGGTGAGAGGTGGGACCGGGGGAACGGGCAGCCGGGCCTCCTGTGCGAGGAGGAAGCAAACGTAGCTGCACGGTGATGGAGTGCACACTTGACCCTCTGGAAGCAACACCCGTCCCCCCCGTGCCGACACGTAGGCGCACAATGCAGTCCCACGAGGAGGGGTGTTTCCTCCAGAGGGGCACAGCGTGCATGTCGTACTCCATTAACATCGGCGACACCCACCTTGGTGGCCTGGCCCATAAAGTACGGCGCATGGAAATCGCTCTCACTGCCGTACGTGACGAGCAGCCATCGTACAGTACTGCCGGTTGGGATGTTCAGCCCCGGCAGGTTGCAGTAAAGGAAGCCATTGATGGCGTGTTTCAGGTTGCCCTCCTGTATTTATACATGGAAATACATACACGCGAAGGGAAGCATGGCCAGAATTGTGTGACTCTGGATTATCAGAGACAGCATCAGAATTCAGCTGCAGCCGAACTGCCGGCAGCGATGGAGCGACAAAAGCCATGAAACGCACCTAGACAAACGACCCCCTTCCATTATTGGGTAAACTGCCCACCTAAACAATAAGGCTCCATCCCTAGGTGAGTAAATTCCTGAAGAACGCTTAATTTTTGGAGTGGAGAGCACAAACCCCCCGAAAACAAAACAAAGGCGCACAAGGCTCACATGGTACGTAGCGATGAGTGCCTCATTGTTGATCGCTGTTTCATTGACTCCAGCAATCTGCTTATTCATATCCCAATAGGGACTCATCTCCTCATCCATCATCTGGGTCGTACATCGTACGGCCGAGGGAGAGATAGTGGGGGGCGACTCAATAACACGATTGAACACAGACGAGCGTGTATGAGCACGTAGCGTGTGCATGCATATTTTGAACGGCGGCTATGCATACGACATGCGTATCGATGAATGTATGAACGTATGTATGTCTCTCCCCACCTGCCAATGCAGCGGTATCATGAGATCCACCCCGGCAGGCACTACTGCCCCTGGCTGCAGCTTGCTCGGCTGTAGCACACCGGGAGCCGCTACCACCAGAGCGCCCACGAGACCTGCAGAGGGCGCTGAAACGACGTCCACCGTACTCGTATAGCCGTACACCGTCGTACTGAAGTCAGCTGTGCTCGGTCGGCAGAGTCGGAAATCGGGCCACATGGCATGAATGCGTGCACGGAAGTAGTGAGCGAAGAGGCGAAGGGCGGAATGGGGCATTATGCAGGTCATGAGGTTGGGATATAGAGTGGAATGGAGTCGCCATGGGATGTCCTAATTAGGCGCTCGGGGGCCTCCTGGGACTTAGGGGACCCGGTGGGGTATCCTGTAGGGCTTATCACGGAACCTGGATCCGCCAAATTTTACTTTTCTGAAGTCGTGATATAACAGCCGGGTCGCGGCAGTTGAGCCTGTTTGGAAATGTTTGTGTGTATCCCGCAAGGCTGAATTTCTTATTGCTATTACACTACACCAGACGTAAACCTCGTTTGCGTTGAGGGGGGCGTCGTACGGAAGGATTTCTTCTCTATACTTTATTGTCCTCCCAGCACGGCCCTGGCACTCGACCGATCCCGGCATAACCCCCCAAGACGTTTTCGTAACCCTCCACAACCCCTGAAAGATACAAAACAACCTCAAAGTAGTGCACTTGCGAAGACTTTGAACTCGCGCTCGGAGGCTGTGAGTTGGCTCAGAGGAGCCTTCCGGTCCCACGGCTGTATGTGTATGATTGCATGTATACACCCATCCTTGATTCATACCGTGTATATGCACACGTGTTCGTGTCTTTATGTATGTGTGTGCGTATTATGATGTATGCTTTTAAAGGCCCGTGCGTATTGTCACGCCTGAGAACGGATGGACTTCTGGCATAGCACCACGTGTGCACACGTGATGCTGTTCCATGCCATGCTTTATCATGCCGTACCATGTCGTACTTACCCTCACGCACCTGTTCCAGGTCCTGCGCTGGCCGGGATCATCCAGCGATACACACAGGTTTCCCCCGCCGCCACCTTGGGGCACATGTCCTCCCCTAGCAGCTCCCCCAGCCCCCCTCCCATTTGGATATTCACTGGGTAGTCCGGGAGGTCCGTCAGGTTGTTGCGCAAGTGGATCTCGAGGATATCGCCCACCTGTGCGTATTCGCGTGCACGTATGTGGATTCACAGTCTTCCGCTAAGCGCTTCGAAAACGGAGACAGTAAGTACTGGGGAGCAGCGTTATTTTTTTGCGGAATATATTCCGAATTCAGAATAAAAAGTTGTTCGTGGTCCTGAAAGTTACAGATTCGGAATAATATTAATCCCGCGACTAAAAACCTATTTCTCAGTTGGGAAAATTAACCGGCGAAACATGGAAAAAAACTGCTGGGGAGCCCGGGGACTTTGTTTTGCTTTCTGTGGCTGCGGTCTTCTTACTGCCACTTCTGCCCTGATCGTCCTCTCAGGAAAGAAGGCAGCAGAACGAAAAGTCCCAAAGGAGGAATATGTGTGTGTGTGTACGTAAGCACGTGCGCCTTCCACTTTCTTTTGTATGCATACGCGCATCGTGTGTGTTACCGTAGAACCATGCAGGTGCGTGTAATCCACAGAGCGGAGCTGTGTACAGAAAACAAGTTAGAAGCTTGCTTATGTGCACGAGTACATGGCAAAAGCTGTTGAAGGGGAAACAACCGGTCAGGCTTCGAAGGAGAATGGTAATGAATGCACGCACATAATAGTACCCCAGTAACTAGCACAATCACGTGCCTCGACGATGATGGTGGGTCCCATTGTACCGTAATACGGGGCCGCCGTGTTGCGACAGTGAAGCTTGCGTCCGAATACGCCCTGTACGGCGAACGGTATACGTCAGGAGGATGAAGCAGTGAATCAATATTAGGTCGCAGGCCAACGCGAGCGACATATGCATATATACCCTATAGGCAGGTGGCTGGAAGAAGTTACGGCCTGGCGTCTGCTCCCGGAGGCTCCCAACATCAAACCAAGGAGATTCTCCCCCGCCTTCCACCCATTCCACCCCAGCCTCTCCGTCGTCCCTCCCTGCCCCACTCTACCTCCTTGCATACCCAACTTCACGAGGCCTCGTCCAAAAGTAATGTAATGCCGTACCTGTATACTGCCTTGCGGTAACGGGATCCAATAGTGTACGGCTGCTTGACCAGAAACTTGTGCGAATAAGATTCGGTGTCTGAGTCCACGAGTTTTTTGCTGCACCTGTCATAAACGTAAACGGCGTTTTGAAGTTAACCACTTCGCATGTTTTCACTTGAACTAATGCTGAACACATTCTCATGTATACAGCACAACGAAGTGTAACAATATTCCATGGGCATATTCTTGTGAATCTGGCTGACCCCCTCGATTCCCTTATACACACACATAATTGCAGTTAATGTCCACTGCACGCACTTGTAGCCGCTCGGCGCGTAGTCCCACTCCACAGCCTCAGCCTGGATGTAGTACTTGCGGGTGACGCCAGAGGGCCGTGTGGTGTTAACGAGCTGAGGGTTGGGCAACACGACGTACTTGGCGCGCATGCCGGACATTGAGTGGTGCGCCACTCGGCACTCCATTTCGAAATTGCCTGCAGGCCCATCCAATAACGACGTAGTAGCAGCAGTAGCAGCAGTAGCAGCGGTAGCAGCAGTAGCAGCAGTAGCAGCAGTAGCAGCAGTAGCAGCAGTAGCAGCTATTGCATACGCTAATTAGCCGCGAGTAGCAGTAGCAAGCACAGGTCTATTGGGTGTAGCCGGCAGCAGCGGGCCAGCAGGACCTGCATGCAGCTGTTGCACGCGCGCTAATAAGCCACGCAACCGCCGGCACCCTATTATTTCCTGTACCCACCCCACCCGACCCCACCCCACCCCACCCCATCCCGCCCCATCCTATCCCGGCAGCAGCAGCAGCACCACCACCACCACCTGGCGAGGTCATGATAACGTCCGCAGTGATCATGCTACCCGGGCTCATCTGAACGCTGTCCAAGTGCTGCTCTTCATAATCGAAGCGAGGACCGCCCATGTTCGGCGTGTGCATGTCCCTGAGACTTCCTAGCGCCATCGCGTACATGCGGACCTGGGAAAGGGACGACTTGAGGATGCATAAAGAGTGAGAGTTGAAGGGATTCAACGGATGAGAGAGATAAGCGGGGGCCAGAAAAGGTGAAAATGCATGGCAGATTTATGGGGGAAGGAGAAAGGGAGGGAGGGGAGGGAAGCAACATAAGGCAAGGTGTGCGGCTCTATCGACGACTTAACTATGTTGTGTATGAGTATGAGTGATGGAACGCGAAATCCCCGAGGCCAATCAACCCGGCAAAGAAAAGACGGAGGTTAGCAGTTCCGAAAGTAAAAGCGAAAGGAGGTTACATGCGAGTATGTGATGGCATAGCGGGATTGCGCCGGGCGGGAGGGCGGGAGGGCGGGAGGGCGGGAGGGCGGGAGTCAAACCCTTCAAAAGACCTACACATATAGAAATAATGGAGAACACAATCCTCACCTTATCGCCCTGGACGAATGTCAGCTTCGGCATGCTGCAAAACAAAAAGCCGTTGATGCTGTGCTTCAGCATGTGCTTCTGGTGGGGATTGGAACACGTTGAAACGGGGGTCGTATGGCGCCATGGATTGGCCATCGGAAAGGTGCTTGATGTTCCGCCACAAGGGAGCCCGAAACGCCGCTGCTGCTCCCTGTGCTTGGTTAGGCAACATACAACCTTTTTAATCCCCACTCCCACACCCCGGACTTTGCCGGCTCGCATCAATCCTCCCCTCCTCCGCCTCCGTGAATCCCTTGGTAACTAGGTACATCCATATATCCATACATACATACATACAGAGAATTTCCCCTTATTGCACACTTGCTTTCTTGTTTGTAGCGATATGCCCTGTAAGCAATCACGTCATGTCTGCTGCATCAGCAGGTCATTTTGGGAGCTGAGAGTCTAAAGGTCCCAACTTCACGTCATCTATCACATTATATGCCACACGGCACTGCACGGCACCATACGGCACTGCACGGCACCGCACGGCACTACACGGTACCATACGGCATTACACGGCACTGCACGGCACTGCACGGCACCATACGGCATTACACGGCACTGCACGGCACTGCACGGCACTGCACGGCACTGCACGGCACTGCACGGCACTGCACGGCACTGCACGGCACTGCACGGCACTGCACGGCACTGCACGGCACTGCACGGCACTGCACGGCACTGCACGGCACTGCACGGCACTGCACGGCACTGCACGGCACTGCACGGCACTGCACGGCACTGCACGGCACTGCACGGCACTGCACGGCACTGCACGGCACTGCACGGCACTGCACGGCACTGCACGGCACTGCACGGCACTGCACGGCACTGCACGGCACTGCACGGCACTGCACGGCACTGCACGGCACTGCACGGCACTGCACGGCACTGCACGGCACTGCACGGCACCATACGGTACCATACGGAATCGTACTCTCTTGTACACACGTACATAGTCAAGGCTTCAGTCGTGTGATGCGACAACCGTACGGCACTGTACAACCAATGTATACCGTACCTGAAACCCCGGATCCGATCTCAGCTCGTCCACAGTGTCCGCATCTGCTGCAAGTGCGCCGCCGTCACCCAGTCGCGTGCGCAGGTTATCCTGTTTGTTTTCGTGAAGTACAATCATGCATTCCATGTATCGTACATATATTGTGTCGTTTAGTACGTAAACTGAAGGAAACGGCCAAAAGGATGTATCTCCATACATACGTACGGTGAGCCAGAGGCTTCTGGTGCTTCCGTCTGACCGCAAAACGGCTGTGTGTGCACGCAATAGCACCATCACGACGGTGGCCACGACTACACAGGGGCGCATGTGGCTTGGTGGATTACCCCTATCTAACGTACGGCAGTGTAAGGTGATACGGCACGGAACTCCCTCCCACCGTACATATTTTGCCATTGTATGCCAATTCATCCTCAAGCCTTTGCACGCCGTGGCGCCCACCTAACCACCTACCTACCTACCTACCTACCTAATTAATTAATTAATTAATTAGTTAATTAATTAATTAATTAATTAATTAATTAGTTAATTAATTAATTAATTAATTAATTAGTTAATTAATTAATTAATTAATGAGTTAATTGATTCATTAATGAATTAATGAGTTAATTAATTAATTAATGAATTAGCTAACTGCCCACCATAAAGTTGGATGATGCAATTTCGTCTGTGACGCTGAAAAAGGTGATGACCTCGCGATCCACGTCGATAGGCCGCGGGTCGGAGACGGAGTTGAAGGCCTTGGCTGCATTAATGAGAGGTGCTTAGGGTTTGGAATGCGCTGATGTGTTTTTGTGTGGACATGCGAAACTCGAGTGACCTGGCAGTGCAATGGCAGTGACCCGAATGTGCGAATGCGAAAATAATTCAGGGGTGGAGGCTGGCGCCACTACGTACTGTCCAAGAAACAAACCCACGTGTCAGTTCTCAGCAGCTTCTTAGAAGTATCGCTGCTGGTTGCCGTACCGTACGAAAGTATGGAACCAATGCAAACCAAGACAGGAGGAGCAGGGTCCTTCAACCCGAATCGGACCCGAAAGCTTTTTTGAGAATTTGTGTTTTGCACAAAAGGATCGGTCCAGTCCGGGCAGAGCAAGGCAAGGGAGGCAAGGCAACCCGTTTCCTGACTCCGCCCTTCGCCCGTCCCTACCTACCTACCTGGACTCGTCACGATGATGGCGCCCACCAAGCCCGCGTACGTCTCGGCGGTCTCGTTCAAATGGCTGTGGTACATCCACACCACGGAGGACGGATCCCGGGGACCTGGGCCGGAGCGGGGGGGTACCTGGGGTGCGAAGTGGGGGGGGAGGGAAAGTGGGAGTTTGAAAAACTGTCAGGCTAGAGATACACATATAGATAAGTTGAGGCGCCGTTGATCCGCTAGATACATATATAGATCTTAACAACAGACGTCCGGAAGGGAGAGTGGAGCTGGAGGAGTACGTGGGGGTCGGCTGGAAGGGAAGGCTGGCTGAGGGGTGTGGATTTGCCTGGTAGGGCTGTGGTGCCGTAGCCCTAACTTTGCTTAAGGGTTTAGCCGAGTAGTTTGTGCAGGAAAGGAACTGTAACCCATTTCAAACGCCTTTCGGCAATGACTGTCTCCCGGATAGGGGGATGCAGTACGGAAACGGCCGAGGTAACCCGAGCAGATGTTTAGCTTCCCGCTAGACTAGCGCACCACAAAGTTGGCGGCTAGGTGGCCATCTGCATGGCACGACGCCACTAGGCAACAGACATGCATACATACACACACACGCGGCACAAAGGGTCACCACCTGCCATAAGTACGTGTACGCCTGGTTCGGTTGTACGGCATCGTCCAGCTTCTGATTTGCTGCCGTACCGTCTCTGTACATGGCTCCCTCGTTGGCCTTGCTGTAGCGTAAACCATGCGGGTGCATGGAGATGTTGATGGAGGCGCGGTTGAGCAATACGACCTGCCGTACAGTACGGCGGCGGCGGAGGAGGAGGATTACAGAATAAAATTAAAACTGATGTCAGACATAGCTCAGGTAAACCGCAGCGTAAGGGAACGGGACGGGTCGGGAGGAGAGGAGAGGAAGCATGAGAGGTTGGGATCCTCCACATGTATCCCGGGCCACACACCCCAACTCCCATACCATTACCCTTACTTCTCCACATCAAGATATGTGGGAGATGGCTGAATGTCCATCTCGTAACTCCACTATTTCTTTAAATAATTATAACCTTATAATTCCCACCAGGTTCCATGCTTAGGCCTAATATCTCACACCTTGATCGTGTCGCCCACCGAAGCTCTTAGGATGGGTCCCACAAAGCCCAAATACGAATCATCCAACGGGCGTATTTTCTTCACAGTAAAGGTGTCATCCGTGTACTCCATGTATAACGTTTTTATGAGCTTGGGTCCCAGTCGAGTCTTCACGCCAGCCGCCAACGGGCCTTCCACAAAGTTGGAGGCGTCCATATCGCCCATGGAGGACTTCGGCGTGTGCCTGCACCCAGTGGGACGTGTGGCGTAGGTAAGTGCGCGCGTATGTATGTCCGTGTATGCCGGCGGTGCGCGTGCGTGTGTATATATGCGTGCAAGTATTCTACTTTACCAACCCGGTCAGTGCCACCTACCCACCTCCCACTGCTAGTGCAAGTTGTGCACCCACCCAGGGACAAGCGCACGTGCGCAGAACCCGCATTTCCACCATCACCTATACGTCTTTTTTTGCATTCTCAACATACCCACATCCTCGACAGACCACCCACCTTAACTCCCACCCACCCACCCACCCACCCACCCACCCACCCGCACATCTCCAGGCTGTCCGCCCCCGTGTAGCTCCACTCCGCCTCCTCAGCGGCCACGTAGTAAACCCGCTCGGTGCCCCCGGCAGGAAACGGGGCTGGATCGCCTGTACGGATGGAGTACGGCAGTACGGCATACAGTCAGAGATGATTATCTATAAGCGGGTGAATGAGGAAACTATAGGCGTACGTCCTCTCCTCCGCCCAACCAACCTCACCACAGGCAACCATTGACCGCATCAGTCACAAATGTCACCTTTCGTGTACGGCACCCATCCTGTAACGGTATCCACTTACAGCAGTCACTCTGTACGGTAGTCACTCTGTACGGCGCTCACCCTGCGCGGTACCCACCCTGTACGGCACTCACACGACACTGCACGACACTCACCCTGCACGGTATACAAGGTGACCATCCCGCCGTCCATGTGGAGGTCGACGTGGCAATGAAGCATCCAGATTCCTGGCTCGTCCAGTTTCATATCCGCCGAATACGTCGCTCCAGGGATACCGGTGAACTCGTCCATGTGGTGGCCGTTGACCTGCCAGCGGACAACCGTAACCGTTACGCCAGTTGGTTAGGTAACGGCATACATGACCGCCAGGGGTGAGAAGAGCGCGATGGAGGAGTGTCCGGGAAACGGAATGGCGCGGAGGGAAGCGGGAGTTGTTGCGAGACAGGGAAGAAGATGAACAGACGCGTGCGCGTTCGGCAGCTCGAGGGAAACTCTGTAGGCAGGATATCTCCTATACCTTGACGCGTGTACGGCACATCCATCGCTTGAAACTATCAAGGTTTGAAGCGGTTGCGTCACCCGTTACCCAGAGGGGATGATATCCCCTGAAGGGGAACGAAGAAGGTTCCCCTAAAGGAGATGTAACGAGCCCATACAAACCAGAAGCCCAAGAGCCTTGAAGCTACAAAGTGGATCGGAAGTCTCCCACCCTGTAACAAATCAATTCAATTCAATTCAGGTCAGGAACATAGCACGGATCGAAACTTGCTCACCTCAACAGTGTGTCCATGCCAGTGGTAGTTGTGGAGGCTGTCATTCGAACCCACACTCGCCAGGTGCCACCTCACTCGCTCGCCCACAGCCAATGTAAGGTGGTCGCGGGGCATGTTGCACCATACGTATCCATTTACAGCCATGTTGGTGTACGGCACACCGGACGTCAGCGCTGGGCTGTTGTACGGCAGCATGGCGCTGGATCCCTCGTTGACGACCTGGAAATGTGCGGTGTGTGGGCGTGGGGTGGGGGATTGGGTGTGGGTGTGTGTGGGGGGGGGGAAAGGAGCCGCCGCGCGCTTTCAGCTGCCAGAAGACACATGGGTGTTTAAAAGATATACGAAATACCATGCGAAGTATTTATTATGCCTAACTAGGAAAGACGCAAAGTCTCATGCAGTCTTCCTTTTATGTGCGCGGGTAAGTAAATATCTGGGTTGTGTGCATGGGCGTGTATGTATTAGGAAAGCTGCGCCGTTGCGAAGGGTAGGGCCTTTGGGGGTTTTTGCTTATTGCTTACTCGCTTGATTTGCAAAGGAGATAAAGACCGCTAACGGCAATGCTCTCCACCTCTGCCCCTTCCCCCGGTCTTCTGAGGAGAAGGCCCTTCTCCTTCTGCTTGTTCCGGCCTAGCTAGCTACTGCTGCATGACACGGCCCCGGCTATAAGGGGCCCGAGCCAACCGTGTGCCCATACGCGCACATGACACATTATCGCGAGTTGCATACCAACGAATGTGGCAATCCTAGGCAATTGGAGCCATCGACTGCCAAATGCAGGCACCCCCCACAGCTACACAGCCTCCCGAGCCCCCGAGCCCCCACACCTCACCAGCTCACCGTACTACCCCCCCACAGCACAACCCTCAGTACCCAACATCAACTTGCGAGCTGACCAGGAACTAAGTTGACGCGCCGTTGATCCGCTAGATTTGGTTGGATGCCGGTGGTGAGTTGCCAAACTCAAAGAGTACATTCTGAAGTCGGATGGGGTGAATGGATTAGTGTGCCCATCTAGCAGGGGAGAGCAGGGAACTGCCTCGGGAAGGAGGCCACTGGTGAAGCTTAACCACCCTGTAACAACATCAACAACATCAACAGCCCACCTGGAAAAGCACCACCAGCTCTCTATCCACATCGCTAGGCCGCCCGTCCTCCTCCATCGCCACACCCGGGCCCGTCACAATGATAGGGCCCACCAGACCCGCATTGTCGTGCAGTTTCGGATCCACGCTACTGCCGTACAGCCACAGCCGCGAGGAGATCGTGGCGTTGGGCCCGACAGGCCCCGCCTCCGACGGCACACCCCAGAGGTATGTGATGGTGGAGCCGGGGGTCACGGGCTGGTACGGGTTAATGGCTGTAGCGGATGTACGGCAGTTGCTAGTGGTGTTGTCCCAGGGTAAGAGGCCGCCGTTGGGCACCATATTGACGGCGATGCCGCTTGGGAGGTTGTTCTTGAATACGACACGAACCACATCCCCGACGGCGGCCCGAATGAGGGGCCCCAGGTTGCCGAGGTGCTGCCACTCCGCAGGCTACTTCTCCCCTGGACCAGCCCAGGAAGGGACAGGTGGTGGAGGTCAGTTGTTTTAAGGTGGTTGCAAGACGTCTTGTGGTGTCGAGCTCTCTTAGCCTTTCTCTCTTGGAGGTTTTTTTGTTGGCCTGTTAGGTATATCAGGAGCCCTCCCCTGCCGGGACTGCCCTAACCGAATTTTTGTTTGTTTGTTTGTTTTCCCTTCGAATCCCGTTTTCGTTGGTGGTGTTTTGGGGGGTTGTTTCAGAGAGCCTTTGACTTTGCCCTAGCTGAGACTTGTGGACTCGCTCTAGCGGGACCTGAGAGCCCTTCGTGGTGTATTCAATGCAGCGCCATCCCCGGATAGAGGGGCTGCGGAGTGGCTGCGTAGAGTGTTGGCAGTCTGAGTCGGGGTCGGGAGCACACAAGACTAACCGACTTGTGCTGTGTGCTCCCGACCCTTGCGCTGTGT